TCTTTCCCTGATCTGCCAATGACTCCCCCTTCCCCTTCAGTGTCACACCTTTGCTTCAGCCCCAGCATTGGGAGCTGCTGCCTTGAATAAGCTGGAACACCCTGAAGCGGCAGTTCCCAAAGGCTTCCTGTGACCCTCCTTTATCCGCCAGAAGGGATAGGGGGATCTAGCTCCATCAGAATCTTACCTTGAGGCACTTGGTGCACCTTGAAGTGGAAGCTCCCGATGGAGAAGAGCCCTTCTTTATTTATTTGACTTCTACTCCTCCTTTCATACCAGTAATGGCACTCAAGGAAGCTTGCAATCAGTAGTAAAACTTGATCAAAACAATATTATTATTCACAATGTAAAAATATACAGAAGAGGTTTTTTTGCCGTTGTTCAGCTGCTCCCCAATCAGCTGGGTCCTGTGTGTGGAAGAGAGAGAAATCTGAACGATGGAAGGTTAAGACTGCTGCGCAGCAGAGAATGTGATCAGCTATGCAGCAGGAATGGGTTGCGAGGAGCAGAAGTTTAAACCTTCTCTCCCTGTGATCCCCCACATTTTTTAGCTGCATTCTCTTTGCACGTGTAGTGTGTTTTGTAGGTGTGTCGAATATGTGTGTGTTGTGTTTGTGCACTTAATTTGTCTGTGGATGGGAGGGTCAAGCATCTCTGCCCACTTTGTGTAGCCTCCAGCTACCATTAGCACGTACCCCCTGCAGGGTTATTCATATGGAAAGGCGCCGCTCAGGTGAGGCAGCTGCTCCACTCCTGTCCTACATAGTTAGGAAGTTTCTCCTGATTCCCTCTGCAATGCATTGAAGGAACACAGCTATGAACCTACCTGCTCATCGCTGCCGACCTGCAGCACAGCCATGCCCTCTGGTGCTCCCCTCAGTGGAGATCATTCCCATCCAAGGGTTCTGCCAAAGCACATGTGAAGCCCAGTCATAGCCTCTCCCTGTGCGAAGGAGCTCAATGCACAAGTACGAATATGTGCACTGAACCTGTTTCTGTGCCAGCTGCATTGCAGGCAGTGAGGAAGTCGCCATGGGCTCCAGCACGGAAGGCAGGTGCACCCCACCTCAGAGGAGTCTAGCTTAGACAACTACATGCCCTTCCCACTGTGTGTGCACATGCATGTGTGCGTGCATAAATCGGTTGGTGTAATAGTGAGCCATTGCCATTTTGGGATAGCTAAAAGTCAAGCAACCTTCCCCACACAAATCTCAGCATGCATGTTGTGCTTGCAACTGAAATGCATGCATTTCTATTCAAGACTATGCCTCATTTTTACATTTTAAGATTATGCTTCCTTCCAAAATGGCACTCAATAAAGATATACAAAATAGAACAACTGATAGACAGTATCAAATGCATTCACAGCGGCAAAAAGAGATGAGCAACATCCCAGCATTAACATTAGTGAAGCCCAAGAAACAGAGATTGTTAAAAACCTTTCAGTTGCTAAGGCTGCAACTGCCATTAAAGATTCAGACACATGTGAAGTCCTGGTACTGAAAACTCACCTGGGAAGAGACTGAGTCAGTGATTCCCAATCTGGATCCTCAGACAGAAGTCTTACCATTGCTGACTATGGCCCATGCTCACCGAGGGTAAAAAGAGTTTTAGTCCATCAACATATGGGGATGTAAGACTGAGAACTACTTGTGCTTCTCAGCTCTCCCTGTGGAAACTATTTCCTAAATTACAGATGAACAACTCTTGTTGGCTACAGCTGTACTTAAGCTGCATCCCTGAGCTGTTGACACTAATACTGTGCAGAAGCTCTTATCGGTCAGTGGAAAAGTCAATAATGAAATCCCCAAATGATAACCTGAAACCTCTTTGATTTGGGCGGGTTGATCTGGATTAACCCTTACTAACCATGCCAGTGACTTCTTGGATGCCATGCTACTTTTCCTAACTCGTGGTATGCATACGACCTCTTCATGCTATGGGCGATTTGCAAGCAGCTGGCAGCCACTAGCAATCCAGCCAGCAGCTGCAGTCTTCAAGTGGTATTCTGAGGCTGAGCCAGGGAAGATTGCAAGGAATGTCCTGTGCTAGTATGGAAAAAGTTCATATGTAGTAAAAAGCTTCCAGGAGTGCCATTTGACTCTCACCTGGTTAGATCTATCCCTGGACAGAGCAGAAACAAATCAAAACTGTTTCTTAGTGGAATTTTTATTATTAGCTAAGGCTAGATCCCAAAGTGCTTTTTTGAGGGCCATTTATTGAGCCAAAGTGACTGATTTCTGATCTTTCAGGATGGTTGTCACTGATATTGTAATAATTTTATTTTGCTTTCGTAACCTATCTCCAATGCTTGGTAGTTTGTATGATTTTTAACGATCCCTCCTTCACTGGAAAAGTTGGGAACCATTTCTTTTCGGAAGGAAAGGCTTTGTCCCATGTCTCAAGGCCAGGATGCTTCTTAATATTCCAGCTGCGATTAACATTTTTCCCCAAAAATCTTTGCAAGATTTCAGCACCAACTTCCATAATAGGGTGCCTTCCAACTATGCATCATATAAGACTTTGGTTTCTCTCAAAAATTGTAACTCTTATGAGCTTATTATACTCATAAATAAACAAATGATATAGTAACATAGATTACCGTTGTAGGTTTGAAACAGTTTGGTTCTAACAGAAGAATTCTAACAGGCATTTAGGCTGACACACTGAACTTTTCACTGACCCAGGGGCCTTGTCTTGCTGAAGGAATCTGACAAAAGCAAGGTGCATCCCATTTTCCCAGTGAATTAAGGAGGAAGCAAAATGTGTATTAGTCAAGAAAGCAGGGATATACAGAACTTGTTAAAACCAGTCTGTCTACATTTCACAGATTATCAGGCACTTGTGGCACTTGTGTTCTCTGAGCCACTCATTGGCAGAATCTGATTTGTGTAAATGTATTTGTGCAAATTTATCTTTCAAAAAATGCACTACCCCCACCCTCAAAATATGGGGATCTCTCCAAATGCTTTAGTCTATGGTGGAAGGGAACACACATTTTTGGTTGGTGAGCCTTAAAATTTTCTTATGGGAAAAAGACAATCTGCTGTAAAATCTATGGAAAGATTCATAAAAATGGAGACTTATTTGAATTCATTGTGAATTTCTCTGACATTTTTTAAAGAAAGAAGGAAGAATAACTGCTTATTGTAAAGTTGTTCACATGTTCAGCTTATGATGCAAAAAGGAATGAAAGATACCAAGAAATATTGTGAGAAGTAAACAGAACTGAGAAGCACTTCAAACATAGCTACACAATAAACCTACAAATAAGAGGCAGGTGTTATTCAGTTTGGGAATTTAAGGAAGTGTGTTGCAGCAAAGCTGATGAAGAGATGAAGTAAATACATTACTTTTCAAAATCATAGCAGGGGATTTGGGGAAAAATAACTCATTGTTTGGAGCTGAATCAAGTAAATAGCACAAGGAGAAATCATATAAATATAAGGTGCAACATATTAAAAACTTCAGGACATAACATTTGACCTTCTTCTGACCAAAACACATGTCTCAGATTGACTTACCCATTCTTCTTCATTTCTGCTCAGAAATGTTCTTTGAGTAAGAATTGTTAACCTTGACAAATGTCATACCGAAAATGATTCTTAGAAAACTCTGAAATGTGTTTAGCTTGTGGCCACTTTGTATTCTGTATGTTCTGCACCTTTCTGTCAAATAATGTAAAGACTGCTTAAGATTTTAAAGAAGAAAAGACATAGCTGATTTCAGAGTGCACTATCTAAAAATTTTGTGATCCTACACCAGAAGTCAGAAATGAACCTACATTCTTGGTTCCTATGTTCTGGGAAATAGCATACAATACATGGTCAAGCTAAGGAAAGAAATTCTATTGCATAAATCCCTAAATGAAGAAAAATCATTCTGGTCTGTCAGAACTTGCATTCACTGGCAAGATGGTGGGGAATCCTCTTTGTTATGTTTGAAATAGTACTGCAGTAGATCTTCTGTGGATTCTGACTACCCCCTAACTTTTATAACATGTTCAGAATAACTTTCAGAAATTAGCAGTCCAATTTGTGAACCAATCACATGGTTAACTAGCTAATAACAGAAGAATTATATCTCTCGTTGGTACTACTGGAACTACTTCAACATGGATAGATCCTATTCCACTGCAATAACATCTGGAAAGAGGAATCTCATTCATTGGACCAGGTTGTGGTTTTCTTTTTCACATGTTCTCAAGATGGCATAGAATCTCACAGCAGTGTGTCCGTCTCACTATTCTGGTGACATATGAATTAGTCCTTAGAATGGAGCTGATCAGATTCACTTCTAAACATACAGCAAATGGCAAAGAGAAAATTGTTAGTGGCATAGAATGCCCTGGACCATCACAGGGGACTAAACATAATCTTTCCAAATGGACTTTCCTCCAATGTACAGCATCCAACCACAGTGTTAAAATTTTAGATTGAAGCTAATGCATTCTGAGACATTCCCTAGATCAGCTTTTTAAAGATCCATTACTCAATGGATCAATTCACAGAGATAAGTAAGTTTGGTTTATCTCCCTGCATAGAGAAGAGCACATTGTCTAGTACACCCTTTATATTTCTGTTGGAAAAGGGCTGCAGTTCTCATAGCTAAGGGCACATTGTCCCTATCTGGATTGGGGATTATTTTTTGTAAGAACAAGTCACCTCTCCATTGAATGACAATGGTGCTTAAATCATTACTCTTTAGTTAAACGGAGCTTGCTGTGAAGGCAGGTATTTAAGTTGGGATAAGAACCAGCTCATAAACTTTAATGGGAAAGGAAGATAAATCTTCTAATGAGTTGAAAGAAAGCAGATGAGAAAATCGGTGTCGACATTTTTAAGATTTGCATTTCAAATCTGGATAATTATATAAATTGTGCATATGTTAGATGATTATAGCATTGATGGTGTTTGTGTGGCAAGAACCACAAAGAATAAACAAGGGTGGTTCTAATTCCAGCAACTCCCCTGCCTTACCTGGCAACTCTCTTTCCTTAGGTAATCAGCTCGGATGCAGGATCTACTGTTATCTTTTGGCTGATTGATACTGGGCAGAAAATCAAAGAGTTTACGGGTTGCCATGGCAATGCTGAGATCAGTACTATGGCTCTTGATGGGACTCAGACCAGGCTCTTCACTGGGAGCACAGATGGAACTGTGAAGGTGTGTGTGCAGGTGGACTGTGGGAGGGGGTCCGTTCAAGCCAGAAACACCCTTTTCCTTAATGCTTAGTCAGACAATAGTCACTGGTTTTACCACTGGATGGTAGAGGGAAGATATGCATTAGCAGATAGAGTCTGAGATTAGGAAATGGTCGATGAAAGACACTTTGCGCTTCATTCAGACGTTTGCTCAGCAGCATTCTACTGGAAGAGATGTCTGAGGTGAGTTTATCCTCCCTCAGCACTTTCCAGAGTGACTTGACCACTGTTCTGGAGGGTGGGAACGTAAGAAAAACCCTACTTTGTATACTTCATCTGATGACAAGCATCCATCCCATCCTTGTTTTCTCTGGGAGCGGAAGCAGCTCTTCCATGAGCAGATGGACAAGTCTAATGCCAATCCTTGCTTTCAGCTGCTGTTGGTCAAACAAAATCAAAGGGGAAAAGCTATACGATAGTCCTGTGACTTCTTATTCCAGAAAAGAGTTGGAGAGTTGCATCTTTTGAATCCTTCTGCACATTAAAATGTCCTGGAGTGTAATATGTGATATTATGGGAGAGAAGAACACACTTTCTCACTTGCAGGCTTCCTATCAAGTTTGTCGGACTCCCTTAACCAATTTTGGCACTCTAAGCCAAATGGTATTTTGATGCTTCACATGCTCTCACATCTCCTTTGCCTCCTCTACCAGTGACAGATGATGCCTCCACTAGCCTCATCCTTTCTGCTCCCCCCCCCCACCAGCCACCACCACCACCACCACCATCCATCCCTCCTACCCCTACCTCCTGGCTGCGATTGCATCCTCTTCTTTCTCCTTCTACTCTCATCTCCTACCCCCTGAACACCACCATGGTCTACTCTTCTGGGTGTCTTGCTCACCATGAAAGGTCCATGCCGCACTGTGAGGCATTCTGGGTTAGGGTGGCCCTGGAGATTGCCTGTGCAACCATGGCTCATGCAATTTCCAATTCTACCTCAAGTGCTTCACTAAGAGGGATGGCACATCACAAGGAGCCTTTTGCACTGAAACTGCCATTGAACAAGCCTTCTGAAGCATCTTGTTAGCTGGTTCTCTAAGCAGGGAAGCAGCCAGGGGGACCTCCTAGTGAGCTTCTCCTGTATGATGCCATCTCTGCCAGGTTTTGGGTGGCGCTCCAGAGTGCTGTGTTGGGCTTTCCTGAGTTGCAGACCTTCCAACAGACCACAAACAAGTCAAATCATCAGTCACAGAACACTTCGGAGATAGGCACTGTCCCAGTCACTCTATGGATGGCCTTCTAGGAAGAAGCCATTGTTCCAGCCACTTCATGGATAGCCTTCCAGATGTCATTTGCTGAGACTAAAGCTGGATCTCAGCATGCAAAGTGTGTACATTACCATGGAGATATGGTTGCTCCCCTACCTCGCACGGGCTCAAGTAATAGGCATGCACTACCAGTGCCTATATTCTTCCAATGTTTATGTGGCTTCTAAAATTACCAAGAGATGCTTCCTATCTTGCTGTTGTTTGGAAGTGCTGATTTTCTAATCTAAATTGTAGGTTTGGGACTTCAATGGACACTGTCACCATAAACTCAATGCTGGAAGAGACAGAATGGTTGACATCTCCCAGATCTTGGTGCTAAGCTGGACTGTATTAGTGTTTGGCTGGGACAGGTACTGTGAAAATCAAGCTATAACACAGACAGGTTTGCAAGTTGTAAAATTGTACTTTTGTCTGCATTTCTTGATGAGAATATCTGCTAATGCTTATCTTTCCAGACTGTCACAATAATTCAAGGCCTGTTTGATAAGTGAAAAGATTTAGCACTGTCTGTTTGTCAGCTGAGAAAGGATGTGCTATTCAAGGGTGTAGACTAGCAGGAAAGGCTCTCATTGATTTCAATCAGGGTCACTATTTCAAATTTCAGTGTGAAGGATTTCTCCTCATGGCTTCTTTTCGGGAAAGAGATCCTATTGGCTATATTCAAAATGGCAAAAACCAGTGTGATTTTTTTAAAATAATGCTCTGATTTGATCATTTCCCTGTAGCAACCCTTTTATACCAACAGGCACTTATTCTTTGCTCTTCATTTCCATTTATTTCTGTTCTGACCAATAGCTCTTTGGGAGGTCTGCAACAATTAAACCCTAAAAAAGCCATACAATGTAGTATAAATTGCATACAGAATTATAAAACAAGTTTTCACGATTGGCAATAGAAATCCTATGATGTGTAAAAATCATAGCATATGCTCTGGAACGCCTATGAGCACTGCAAGACCTTAACCTGTAGCTGGAGAAATGGCATTCTTGGCACTAGGCTCAGCTTACTGGGACGTGGGCTTCATAATTTAGGAGGCCACCATGGAGAAGATCTTCTCTTGTTTAAAGAGAGGCCTGTGCCTTCTGCCATTATGTGCCTGGCATGTATGCCGATATGATGTAGGTGGAACGTTCACAATTCATTCAGTGGGAAAACACCTGTTCTGCCTGCAGAAACATCAAAATTCAAGTCAGAAGACAAAACCAGGATAGCTGTGTTTCTGCTGATTGGTTACCACGTGCCCTTGTCTACATGTGCAAGACAATGCACATATATACTGAATGAGATGTGGCAGAATCATGGTGTACTTCAGCAGGAATTAAAGCACTAAGTAAAGAAGAAAGTTACTGGGATTATTTATTAAATTTATTTATTATTATTAAATAAAAATAAATTTAATAATTAAATAATTGATTTTATACCATGCCTCTATTCCTGCAAGGAATCCTAAGGGGATCACATCACCCTCTCTCCATCTGATCCTCAGAACAACCCTGTGAGGTAGGTTGGGCTGAGAGTCATTGACTAGCCCTAAGTCGCACTAGCAGCTTCATTGCTGAGCAGGGAGCACAAACCAGATCTCCTGAGTCCAAGTCCAAGCCATTCGGCTATGGTGGCTGTTAACAGAGTAACACAATGACAACATGGGACAGAGATGCGTATCCTTAGAGATGCGGTTTATTACAAAAATAAGCAGACAGAGTAAGTATCTGAGCAGCACTTACATGGAAACAGCAAACATTTGGTTCAATTTATCAAGGAGAAAAAGAGATACAGGCTAGTACCTTGGTCAATAGAAAGGAACTAAAGCCAACTAAAGAAAAAGGATATAATAGGAGCCAGACAAACATACAAGTCTAATCAGTTTGGAGAAATGAACAGAGATGTGAATAACATTGTGTTCTTCTGCATAAGTGACTACACTAGAAAGGGCAAGGCATATATTTTCTACACCATTTGTGTCATGCATGCACATTCTGGCAAGATTCCTAGGAATGCACAAGAAGCTGACCATTTTGGGTGGACTGACAGCTCAGATTCTCAGAATGAGCTTTATAAAGGTGAATTGGTCGATCCCAACAGGGCTGATGGGCCAGGCTCTGATAACTAGATGGTTGTTGAAAGGGACTCAGCTCCAGCTGCAGTCCAAGGCCCTGGGGTACCTGCCTATGCCTGCTAGGCAAGAGATTAGCTCAAGGGCAACCAAGGGGCCTAGGCAACCCTCCCATGGGAATGAAGAACAGCAAGAACACCCTGAGGGGCAGGATTTAGAGATGGGGAGTCTATCAGATGAGAACTCCAGGCTCAGAGGAGGTGGTTCTAATAGTCTGTCATCACAGTCACGGGGTGGCCCAGCTGGGATCCCGGAGGGAGGAACACAGGTGTGCCCATTTCCACAGTGCTCCTCTTGCCCAAGTCTGGCACAGAAGGATTCATAAGCAAAGCTTTGGGTGAAGGGGGCCAGAGAGAGTTCAACATTTCAATTTCTGTATGCTCAGAGACTTCCAAGTAAAATAAAAACGCTTGGCAAGAAGCACTGGTGAGTCTGTTACTGCCAGGAAGGAGCACTCAGCTCACATTGGTTTGGTAGAAGCTGAGGAAAGACTTATGGCAGAACTTAATTAGACACCCACCTGAACATATATCTGAAAATGCAGGCAACACACACAAACAGCTTCCTTTCTAGCAGTAATGCTGTTCATTGTAAATCCATGCTGAGGAGGTGGAAATTAGAGTTGGATAAATTGCTTTTAAAGCTCATTTCCTTTCCTTTGAAACTTTTCAGAACTGAGTGATTTTTCCAGATCCAGAGGTGCACACTCTTTCATGCAATCCTCCTTTCACAGAGAATTGCTCAAGGGAAGGACAGGCTTTGGTTATTCAGCCCACTCTTGCTCCTGGGGGCCTGTGAGGGGGCTGATGGTTCATCCACGGAGTCATGGAATGCTGGGAAGCTTCTTGGCACCTGACTGTGAACAGAGATTAGGGTGTCCATTTCTGCTCTGCCAAAACAGAGAGAATGCAGCATCAAGAAAGGAGGCCAGGCAGATCTGCATAAAATGTGCATATGCTGTTGTGTACGCATAATTGCAAATTTGGAAACAATTCTTATGGTTTAAACAATTTCACCTGAATGGGGTAGGGCAGGATTAGGCCATTTGTGTGCTTTCCAGGTCCACTTTCCAGGTGCTAATCACTGATGGGAACTTCAAGGCTCCCGTTCTCCTCATTTGTGCCTATTTATCTTTACACCTTGGGCAGGAGACTTGGACAGGAGTCAGGAGATCTCTGCCAATAGAGGACACCTGGAAGGGCTTCCTTCTGGCTCGGAGCCCTCCTGGTCAGCCACAGCACATCTGCTTGTGGAAGAGGCTCTTTGTACCCAAGCCAATGCCATTTCCTGAGCCTAAATAATGAACCCCTAGTTTAAAATTCCAAATCCTGGCCTGTCTTCCCAAACCTGCTTGTTATCAAAAGATAAAAGATAGAAGCTTCCCTTCATGTTTATACATTGCCTCCTTCACATGATAATTGTGCTTATCGTTTGATAAAGTGAACGTGTCCAATGGTTTTCATTAATTCTTACAGATCATTACCTCTTAGCCCACCAGGCAGTGATCTAGCACTAGGTGCCACGTGGATAAGTGATAAGGCTGATCAAGTGTTTCCTTTCATCTGGGCATAAACTAAAGCTGAGAGCTCATCCTTCAGAGCCTTCTCTCCACAGGAAAGGACCCGTGTCCTCTGATAAAGCAAGCCTGGCCAGAGCCAGCTTCTCTTCATGGCCAGTCTAGCACCTGATGGTCTCATGTTGCACAAGGCAGTGGGATCTGTCTCCAAGCATGGAGGAAGTGGAGCACTGCTGCCTTTCAAAGTCCTTGCAGCCTCAGTCAAGTAACTGGCAAGATCTGGCAAGATTTTCCTTTGTAAGGAAAAGATCTGTTTCATTGTACCTATAAAGGGGATTGAGGAGGTAGCAGGGGTAAGCATGGTCTGTGAGCCCCCATGCTTATCCTCTGGCTTTTTGCAGCCCTGCTTACTTTGACGTATCTCTGAGGTGCTGCTGCCACACTGAATTTTAGGATCAACACTGCAGTAAAAAGGTGTTTTTTTGCTCTAAAGCAAAGGTGAATGTTGAGCACTTCCAGATTTTCTTGTAGTGTTATTTGCCTTTAAAGCCAGGTATATCTTCACCACTTGCTTTAACTGCCACCGTGCTGGTAATAAAATCTGGCAAACTACAGCAGCTATTTTATCTCTCCTCCCTTCCAGACTGAAAGAAACAAGGTTCAATTTGGCCCAGTTCTGTTTCAGGGCCAATCACTTAGATTCTCTGATGCTTCTGAAGTGGACCATCCTCTTAACCTGACAATGAATTCCCAGAGTAATAACGTTAGGTCCATTCCCCTCTAGATTAGCATGCTTACTAAGCTTTCCCACAGGATCTGAGACTGTCTGATTCTGGCTTATCTCTGGGTTCATCTCTGCCTCTCCCCCATTTGATCCCACAATCTTTGAAGATTTTGTCACAGGAGGAGTGGTCTCAGCTCCTACAATATCCTAACAGAGGTTTTTCTGGCTTCAGTTTCCAGAATTCTTGGGACCTATGACAATTAAAATGTACAAAGCTAATATACTGCAGTGTAGATATGGCCTTATGGAGATATATATGCAACTTCGCACATGCTATGCTATAAAAAGCATAATAAATAAATATGATTGTAATGAGCCTTGAGGTTTGCAATCTTTAAATTTTCATGAAGCATCTCGAATATTAAAAAGCTTGTATCATAATAGCAGCCATCTCAGCCTCTGAATTTCCTGCATTTCAGCCTGTTTGGTCTGATTTTGCCCAGCTGCAGACACCAGTTCCCCTTTTCCCCCTTTTATTGAGCCAATTTTGTTGGCACAGGAAATAGAAAATCAATGTAAATATGTTTAAGCAGAATGAAACGTGTCTGCTCTGGATGCTCTACAAAGCCTAATTGAGCCGGGATAAGTGTTGTGGTTTATAAACTATAGATTAGACAGGATTAAAGGACTTCAGCTTCTGCTTTCAAATCTCTATTCTCTTGGAAACCTGTTTTTTTATCTTGTTTCAAAGTATAGCTCTCCTGCACCCTCCCCCCCTTGTAAACCTTTAAATGCACAGAACAATGTTCTAGATCTTATCGCAAACAACCAAGTCAAGCATGACAGTACCTACTATCTATGTTGTATTGGATTCAGGCACGGTCAATTCATGGTGGGTTGTTTCCTCCAGTCTCCTGCCTCCCTCTCATTCCTTATACTAGGATTGGAGTGGGAAAGCCATGACCCTCTCCAGGAGTTGCTCAGCCCTGGTCATTATAGTCCATGATGAGGCAACATGAGAACTGCAGTCAGTCAACATCAGGAGGGGCCCTGTTTCTGGAGTAGGAGGAAGCCTCCGACATTCAGCCCAGTGACTCCATTCCCAATCCTTTAGCAGTTGATGGAGTCCTAGCACCCTGAGAGCTCATTGCCTGTCTTAGGTCCGCCTCTTTTGCTAGCCCCCCAATCAGGAAATGTCATAGACTTGGACTTTCCATAGTCCCAGCCCCACTCATGTCATAGACTTAGAGTCAAGCAAATTACGCCTGTATTGCTTAGAGATAAAACAACTATGAGGAAGAGAAAGGGCAGCTGGTGACGGTCAATGGCCTTTCTGCCAGTCTGAGCTGAGGAAGATCCTCTCAATCTACCATGCCTTCTCTAACATGCAGGCATGAATCTTTTCTTTGGGTTTCCAGTGCCCAATCTTTGTGTGTTTCCAATGCCTAATCTATGTGTGGCTCAGGAAGTTCTGTGTTAGCTGGAATTTAGTTTTTCAGAAAGCGAGATCATGCATGGCTGTTTCTCTGTCCACCAATGCATTGGTAGGTGTGATCTGATATCTACAGCACACGTCACTAAGTTATCTAAGGTGCAATCTTATGAATGTTTAGACAGAAAAAAGGCTTACAGCTCCCAGCATGCGCCAGCCATGTGTGGTCCCTGACCCCTCTTTTTAATCTAACCATGCATAGAATTGTGCCCTCAGTCTTCAGTCTTCTTCAAAATGCTAGTTTGTTTTTGTGGAACTCAAAAGGGAGCTTGTTTCTGTGGAACTTTTGTTGAACCTCATTTAGGTATTGTCCCTCTCTTGATTTGGAGCTTGATTTATTCATGGAACTGCATCTTTGTATTTTTATGTATAAGAGTCTTTTATTTTATTCTGCAATAAATTTACAGGCAGAGAGGAAGCAAAGTGGGTAACTGAAAGTAGGAAAAGAAAAGGGGAAGTTTGGAAACTCACAGTAAGGGTGTATATGGAAGTGGTCTCCAGTGTGATGCTCGCAGACACCTGAAATTAAAACAACAACAACAATCCTTTCCTCCATTTTTTAAACATATGTACATGGATTTGTATAACTCTATGGCAGTTAATACACATGAAATTATTCAACTTTCTATTACTTAAGCATGGGCTTCAACAAAAGCTGACCAAATATACAAATAAATATCCATTTGAAGTTGGCCTTTACATGCAACTTGTTTATATATCAACAGCTGTCCATTGCATTACAGGTGTTTATCCTTCCAGTTTTGTAACATTAGTCTTTTAGTTGTCAAAGGGGCACTTCCTATTCCATTTGTTAATTTTCTTGAAGCAGGTAATTAATTTTAAAAAGTGTAAGGCTGTTCCAGTACAAAATTTGTCTGGATAATGACCTCCTCACATAAAGAAGCAATTACTAGGCATTGCCAAAACACATGGTGCATTGCACCACCAGCAATTAGCCAAATTAGTGCCTTATCAAAGAGAATCTGCAAGGCCCACTAAACATAAAAGAACAACTTTTGCCTAAGCTCCATGGATGGGACAGGTAGACTTCAAAGAGACAATCTATTGATTGGGCATTTTGTGGTGAGGACGGCAGGAGTTTCTCAGATTCCCAAATGTGCCCATGAGTCCAAAAAGTTGGGAATTCGTGATATGTAGGACTGTAGCTGAGATGAAATGTATACTAACATTCTGGAGGTAACAGCAACCTGCTTCTCTCTCGAGGAGACTATGAGAACAGAAGTGAATAGGGGAAGACTACATGCCGACCCTTTGGGCATTAACTATCCTCAGTGTATTGCTGGCAGCTGTTCAAAAAATCCAACACCTTTATATCATAGTTTATATCACTGGTTTGTTAAGAACTACCCATTTCTTTTTCTGTTAGTCTTCTACATTTATTTTTTTTAATTATTTTTTGTGACTCATCATAACACTTCTGTGAAGAGACTAAAAGAGTAATTATCCCCCTCATCTACCAGTATGGCCGGAAACAATCTGCAGTGCACTGATGACGGATTTGCCATTATATTTTGTCAGCAAGGAAGTATGATTAAAAAATGATGGAAAATGATCTCAGACTGATTCTTTCAAAACACAGTTTCTGCAACAAGGCTGATTTTAAAAAGTGGATGAGAGGGGAATTGAAAGAAACCATTAAAATATTCCATTTCATGTTGTGAGGATATCGGTTAATAAAATATTTTCCTTCCTTTCCTTTCCCTTTCTTTCCTTTTCCCCCATTTTTTGATCTTTGATTCTGTTTCTAAAGTTTGGGATGTCACTCAAATTGCATTGCTTAGAAAAAGAGTTAGAAGAATAGAGGTGAAAAAATATGAGAAAATTGGCAAGTTCAAGAATATAGATGTGGTGTCCATTTGTCTATCTAATCTATCATCTGTCTGTCTGTCTGTCATCCATCCCTCCTCCTCCCTCTCTCTCTCTCTCTCTCTCTCTCTCTCTCTCTCTCTCTCTCTCTCTTTCTCTCTCTCATTCTTGCTGAGCGCATTTTGCCACTCCTTCACGGTGCTACAGAAGCCATGGATTGTCTGGAATGTAATGTCTGAGACAGTCAGCTCTCAGAGTCTCTTTTTAAAAAAGCAATGGCACAATCTATTATTTAGTATTATGTGTTTATCTTGCCCTTCTTCCCAGGAGTTCATGATCCTCCTTTTCTGTCCTTACAACAAGCCTGCAAAGTAGGCTAGGCTGAGAGATGGCAACACTGTCTGAGCTCAGTTTTCCATACCGGAGTTGCCTTTGTGAGCTCTGGATAGGACTGCTGCCATGCAAATGGCAAAACTCTTAACAGTCTTGAGTCTGGCGTGGGCAAGTGTTGACTGCAAAGGGCCTGATATGCGCAGGAGATGTATCTGTGGCCCCTTCAAGACGGTCAGGTCTCTGAACCTTAATTCCATCACTACAGCTTAGGGAAAACCTCATTCAGGTCCTGGCTTGGTTTCTGTGACACCGCCCAACTTCATTCCTGAAGAGTGGAATATTGCCCTTTGATTAAATAAAGCGTTAAACATTTGCCTTCTGCTTCAGAACCCCATATCGGAGGATTGGTGGATGAGTCAGGGCCCTGGCTGTCCTAGAGTGCTGTCCTTCTGGAAGAGGATCAAAAATGATGAGGTTCACTAATGCAGCTTTGCTTGTGCTTGTCACTCTTGTTAGGATGATTACTGTCTTCCGCTTGAGCAACTTCACTCAGTTTTTTGTTCAGCCGTCGGAATGGAAAGGAGGCGTTCAGCACCAGGATGATATCTTATGTGCCACATTTTTACTGCCACAGACTCTAGTGACAGGTAGGGGAGCGTTTATTGCCTAATAGATCATCCTGAAATTGGAACAGGCTACTGTCAACTCGAAGCATGGCTGAATCTCCTGCTGCCGCCTGGCTTAGCTTCTATAGTCTGGCAGAGCTGAATTACTTAAGAGGTAGAGATGAATGAGAGCTTCCTACTGAGACCATGGAAGCATGCCATAGGAAAAGGATGGCCCTAAACTTCCTCCCCTCTTAATTTTGTTTCCACAGCTGAGGCAGTTTTGGGGTCACAGCCAACATCAGCACTGTCAGTTCCTTGGAACCAGCATCGAAGGGGTTCAGGGGGGCTCTGATTGCTCCACTGCTCTCATTCACTGTGCAGTCCCCCAGCATAGGAAGCAGATGGGTCCAGTTCACTTTCTCTTTCGCACATGGCCAGCGAGCACGGTCTGGATGACAACACAGCCCTTGCCCTTACTGCGGGCCAGTCCTTGCTAAGCCACTTCTGCCTGGGGATCATTCAGCACTCTGTTGCTGTCCTGGGTGGCTGCCCACTTTTCTTTCCCCTGGGAACAGTCCGGATCCCCCACCCCCAAAGGTTCTCTATTCCCAAGTCGGGGACAAGAGCAGTCTGAGAATTTTATTGTTTTTTCTTACACAGCTTTTGCCATGTCAGTAGAATGAGCTCCAGGACACAAATATAGTGAGCTTGGTTATTTCCAGGCAAGATGAAATGAAGGGGTGGGTCCCTTGTTCTCAGACCAAAGAGCACTCCTAACATGGACAGTGTTCACACCAAGGGCATCCAACCTTTTTGGGTTGGTGAATACCAATTGGAATGTGGAATTTTGAGAGAGTATTATGGATGCTCCCATAGAATAGTTGCTAGGCAGAGTGGGTTTGCTCAGTATAAAATCACTGCCATTGGGAGCACGGCCAGCCACAAACCACTCATTTCTCAAAAGGCGAAGCAATTAGATCACAATAGCAGTAATCTGTGCAAGAGCCCATGTGTAAGGCGGAGATGCAAACTGAGCTCTAAAACACAAAGGCAATCTTTTGAATCCAAATAAAGATGGCGCTGGAAGGCTGCCCTTTGCTTTGCAGCATGCCAGCCCTGCAGTGAAAATGATTCACTGGAAGCCTCATAAGAAGCAAAATAAACAATGGGTGGGCAAGGATTCTGATGGGTACCAGGAAAGGTGTGCATCAGCACACTTGAGACGCCAAGCCAAGGTTTTGGCATATGGCAGAGTAACATTCCAGACGCTTCTAACAGATGAAGCTGCTCATTCCATTCTTCCTACTTTTGTCCTGTGCTCCATTGTAGTGAACAGTCAAATTCTCCACTCAGCTTCCCACAGCTTTCGGACACACTAAGCACTAAACTGTAAGAAGAGTCCTACTCTGCTGCCTTGCTCCACCTCTACTTTAGCCATAAGGAGGTATTGGAAGTTTCATTTCAGTCTCAACTGATCGCACCTTGCTGTGCTGTCCAAACCCAAAACAAACTATATTTGGTGGAGATAAGCTATGTTCAAACCACAGTTTATGAAGCTGACCTTTTCCATTAACCACAATTTACAATTAAGCAGTTTAGGGTTGGAAGGTATGCTAAATTGGGGTTAATCTAAAATGGAAGCAGACTGTTCCAGTCTCTTTGTTGTGCCCATTTCAGAGGAAAGTATAGGAAGGAAGAGCATGTAACCCCTTGGTCTCATAACACCAAGCCCTGGTTCAGTATAATGACCCAAAGTGGCCACTGTGACCTTGAGTCCAGCTGAAGTATGCATGTTTCACTGAGGGCAGAGAAACATGCATATCTTAAGAAAATGATTTTTTTTTTTTTTACGTGACAACCTGTGCCCTTGAGCTTGTTCATTAGTATTCATGTCAAGCTTGACTATGGGATTTCATGAACATTTACAGGATTCCTCTTGAATAATGTGAGTACGTGTAGAACTGTACCTATGGCTTTTAATTTGCAATTGTATAGAGTTTTTTTTAAAAAAAGAATAGACTTGTTTGTTTGCATTTGCTTTCAAATATGCTGTGTATTTGCTTTCAAAAATGCTGTGAGATCCCTTGTGCATGAAGGGCAGTATATACATTTAGAAAGAAATAAAATAATTTTAATGACTTGGCAATATAGAAGCGGAGGGCATCCATAACACAGCAGATGTGTGAAGTTGCATTTTCTTGGGTGGGGGAGCAGGGAGAAATAATAGCTGCATTCAGCCCTGATTTCCCAGCTGTGCTATTTTTTCCATGTTCACAAGGAAGCCCTAAAATTTGCCATTATTGCACATTCAGGGTCTGATTCTGGACTGCTATTATTTATGAAGTTGGGTTAACAACCTTTTAATATCGGATTAACATTATGGTATAGATTTGCCATAATGCCAAATCAGGTTCATCATCAATAATTTGCAGAGCCATCCTGTCTACTTACATTCAAGAGCAAGATAGCCTCTTACGTGATTGTTGGAGCAGCCAAGCGGAAGGTTACCAGAAATGCAGGGGGAGAGTTAATAGTGGCAGTGACTAGTCTGAATCACTGATGGAGCATGGTCGGGGGTTGGATAATAGCCAATACACTGAAATTCAATCCAGACAAGTAAGTGGTACTGTTAGTGGGTGATTTGCCTGCCTGGATGAGTGACATACAACCTGTTCTGGAGGGGATTGCATCCCCCTAAAAGGTCAGGGTTGTCATTTGGTGGTGTTCTTGGGTCCAGCATTGTCAGTAGAAGCACAGCTCAATCCAGAAGCAAGTAGCTCCTCTTTTCAGCTTATACCAATTATGTGATATACCAATTATATCCTCACCTGGACAGGGACAGCCTAGCCTCAGTTATCTATGGTCTGGCAACCTCAATGTCTTATACCTGAGGTTGCTCTTGAAAATTCTCCAGAAGCTTCAGCTAGTCCTAAATAGGGCAGTGAGATTATGACTGGGGATTGGCCAACAAGAACCTATTGGGCCAGGACTTTATCATCTGCACTGGATGCCAGTCCATGTCCAGGCCTGATACAAAGTGTTGGTATTAACATAAAAAGGCCTGAAATGCTTGAGGCCAGGTTACCAAAGGAGCATATCCTACCATGCACACCTTCCTGGAGCCTAAGGTCATCCTCAGCACTCCTTCTCTGGGACTTCTGCTGAAGGATGTGAAATGGGTGGTCATTAAGAAGAGGGCCTTTCCAGTTGTGGCAGTCTAATTGTGGAATCTGCTTCTGAGAGTGTCTTACTTGGAGCTGGCATTGTGCTTTTTCTGGTGCCAGGTGAAGACTCTTCTAGTTTCCCAAGAATTTTAGTCTGAATTTGGTCATTTTAGGTTTGGGGTTTTGAATTTAAAGCAGGGATGGGGAAGTTCTGGCCCTTAGGTGTTGGACTTTAACACCTATCAGCTCCTATGATTGACTACATTGGCTATTGCTGATGGAAGTTGTAGTCTAACAACTTTGGGTAGGAAGGGGTAACACATCCTTCACTCCTGATATAATGCCCTGAATAATTTGGCTGGAAGGTTCAGGATAGCATTGGCCATTAGAAGCTCTCCAGGGAGGACATCCCATTAATTAAGGTTTTTCTTTCCTTATCAACCTGCTGGTGTATTAGAGATGTAACCTGGAAAGCCAGGTAGTATTTGTGTTTTGTCTTCAAACTGAAAGAGGCCCTGTATTTTCTCTTTGGAAGATGAATCGATTGACCCATTGTGTGTAGTACAATGTGCTTGTGAACTGATCTTAAAGCAAGCCATTTGCTGAATTAATCCTGTATTTGTGAATCAAAAGGAATTCCAGATGAAGAGCTGGGAACTAGATTTGGGATCCTAGATGGGATGAACATTTAAAGAAAACACAACTGCAATGTGCATTTTATAAGGAAGGTGAAAACCAGTATATAAAAAAGATAGGGACAAAATAAAATGGGGTGACACAAATTATAGGATGCATGAGAAGCTGCTTAAAATTTGATTAGATTTGATATTAATCCTTGCATTTGTTCTAATAGCTCTGATTTGTATTCCCTGCAGGAATATGCAGGAGGCATGCATTTTTCCGTACAACTCTCCTTGATAGTGCATTGATTTTTTTAATTGTCTAATCCAGGGAGTTCTGGGGGTGAAATTGTGGTGTGGAATAATGGTACAGAAAATGCCTGCACCAAGCTTCACTTGAATCCTGGAAGATCACTGAAGTCCAACTCAGGTTGGTATGTACTGTAATGGGACCTTCATATATGGAAAGCTGAAGGTAGCTGTTGACTCCATTTAGAGCAGCGTAGGAGGTGTTCCACTGTATCTCCTGCCAACCTTTGCCACCATCGCCTGAGGTGAGGGAGTTGTGGGCCAAGATCTGGAGCCCTACAACTGACTAAACCCTGGCTTAGAGGCAGGGAGAACTAGCATTCAGAGAGAGAGAGAGAGCTCTGCCTTTCTCACTGCAGGAAAGCTAAAAGACTTCATCTAACAAAAGTCTTTCAGTTGAGGGTTGCTAAGGGTTGAGAATTACTTTCCGCTGAGGGTTGCCGGGTTCAAGGAACATCCAAAAAGGGCATTAATAGACCAGAGACAGATAACCTAGTGCCCTCCCATTGTTTTGGACTACAAGCCCCATAAGGAATAACCTACCTGGTCAAGGTTTAAGGATTGCTGGTGTTGCAAGACAAAACATCTGCTGTCTAAAACGTTTGCAGTAGACAGAGCGCTGTCCACATGGGACACTTGTGCTGGGAGGTCATACAGAGGCAGGTGGAGAGAGGTGTTGATTGGCAGCATGGCACTCCAGACACCTGAATGATGGCTCCAAGGGGCATTAACTTTAGCCTGAGATAACAGCTGTCTAGCCAAAAATACAGATCATCAGTTAATCACCCACCATTAGCTAGCTATACATGGAATAGATCCTCTGACTGCATGGTGAGAATATTTTTACTAAGCCCCCGCATTTAAGCACAATTCCCAAAATAGAGAAAAGGAGTAGCATCCCTGCTCTTGTACAACACAGACCTGTGGAAGGTTCAGGAGTGATGTTTGTCTCTCTGGACACTTCAGTATCCCCTTGCAACTACTTATGGAAAAAACCTAATTCAAAAAATTAAAAATTTGCAATACTAGAGAGTGCCAAAGGATCAAATCAAGCTTCTCTGTGAGTTAAATTTGACTCTTTGGATCAAAGGCTCGCAAGGATGAAGGCTAGTTTGCAAGCAAGCTGGTTTCTACAATTTGGCATTCAGTAGTTGCTATGGATGCAGTGTTCTTTCCCCAGAAGAATCCCCTTTGGTTTTGTGGTCCACAGGCTCTGCATGCAACCCAGGAGCCTCTTCTTGCTCATCTTTGTGACTGACAACCCTCTTCCCACATGATTGCAAGGCCACCACCTATAAGTGACCATTTGGGAAATAATCGCTTGTTTCCACCCTTGTGGCACCCTAATTCTTTTGTTTTGTGAGATTAACCAGGCTCGAAAAACATTGATCTATGAAATCACTAATAATGAGTCCCAGCTAGGGGGTTGTTTATGCCTTTGCCTTGTCAGAGTGACAAAAGGCAGAAGCGAGGTTGCTCTACCTTGAGATGCATTTGCTAATTCCCCGTCATTCTCAAGGCTATTGCTTCTGTTTATTGTCCTCGATCCACACCAGCATTTTTCTATTAGTACCTTCAGCAGGGAGCATTCCCTTAATTTTTGCCTTATTTTAGTGCTGGGTCATAAATAATTGCAGGCATCGCTCCTGCAAGTGAGCCTGGCAGAACCTTCCCTTGAGGCTGTTCATAACCTGAAAAATTTCATTCGGTTGAGAGTCTTCACACACTAATGGTTATCATATATTAAGTGCCATGCCAGCAGGCAATTTGTAATTGTTCCCTCCTCTACGAGCTACAGCTTCCATTATGGTAGAATAACTGGTGGATGTAAGGTGGGTAGTGAGTGGCTGAAGAGAGCTTTGTGGCAGGAAGGGAAAACATATCCTCTGCTAACAGTACCGAATGGCTTGACACATGTTTTTTATATTTCTTCCTTCAGTTGCTTGACACTTTTCCCAAGACAAATTTTAAAAGATATATATTCCAAATCCTGCTGTCGAGGTTGCTTTGAAAGCTAAAATTCTGGACAGAATAATGAGAAAGGAGATGTTTGAGATATTGCTTCCATGTTAGCCACAGGAAGGGAGGAAGTCACAAATTGGAGGATGCCTTACTTTTTGCTTAACAACAAATCAATGGCTCTAAATGTGTCAGAGATGGCTTCTAATGGAGAAGATTGAAGTAACTATATTCAAGGAAGGTGTCCACATTCTTAAGAGGAAATCCTAACCTAACCTAACTGAATCCTTACCAGCATTCCCCAACCAGCCATGGGAAAATAAGTGAAGAGTAGAAACATGGCTGGATGGGGAATCCTGGGAGTCATGGGGCTTCCGTCTGCCTAAACATGCATAGGATTTTACCCTGTGAAGTGAGAATCGTGTTCTCCACCTTCAAGATTTCTGCAACATGCTTGGATGTCCTGCTGCAGCCACCACCTCTGTTGCTGCTGTCTTGCTGCACCACCACAGCCTCCTCCTCCTCCTCCGCCTTCTATATCACCCCACAGCAGAAGCTCTTTTACTGTGAGTGTGCACAAGTAGAGTGTAGTCTCATTTCATGCCCCCAACCCTATCTGATGAAGTGATCAGACTGAGAGTGTCTGGCATGAGTTTCACCAAATTCCTGTGCCAACTCTGGATGGTAGAATTACATAGGATGGTTTCTTTAAGGACCTAAAACATGGAGTAGAAAATGTATTGAGCCAAAAAGGCCAGACTTGGGCATGATTCTGGTCTGAAGGCATCTGGATTCCAGACTCAAGAAGGACCCTGGCACATTTGATTTGGCTGATGCTTCTCAGTGGTCAGCAGGGCCTCCACTGCCCAAGAACAGAGAGATGAAATCAAGCAGTGTGAATTCTAAAACCTGGGGATTAATTCCAGTTCAGGAGGAGGGAAGTAGAAGGAGCTGCACATAGACCAAGAGGCTGGTTGATGACAAAGATGTCAGCCCACATGAGCTTGTACCTGACTTTGAATTGATGTTCTTCATTGCTTTCATAATTTTAAATTCAAATTTTATCTTTGCAGAGTTGGGAGATCTGACATATTCTGAATCTCATTTTTCCCAGTTCTATCACGGCTACTTTATGCTCAGAAGCAAGAAATCGCATATGTCCATTTACCCCTGCCCTTTCCCAAAAAATAAAGAATAGAATAAACAATAAAAAAGAAATGCTTAGGCTGGATGCTAATTACTCCTCAGTCTTACTCCAAGAATATTAGCATTTTTACTTACAATATGGAAAAGATAACTCTTGCCAGCTGGGATCCAAGGAGCTGCACTGGTTCTACTGTCCCAGTTGTATTCTGGATGTGTGTTTCTCAAGTAAAACCTGCCCACCTGCTTCATGTTGCATATTGAACCAAGCAAGACTTTAAAGATCAGCTGTGAGAAAGCACAGCCTGTGGAGAAAACAGTCAAGAATCTTACTGAGAAATTGACTATACCTCTGAAAAAACAGCTCCTTGCCATGCAATACCACCCATGTAATACCACAAGCAAATGTGGTAGCCTCAGCTAAATTCAAACCAATGTAATTCAACCATCTAATTGTGCAGCTGAGCTCAAAAGCCAACTGGTAGGACATAAAAATAAATTCATTTTCTAAAATATGATCATATGCACAAGCAAGTTGCATGGATACATTTGAGGGATTCTTTCTTAACAAATACCCTCAAGTTCAAAAAGATGTGTGTGTGTGTGGGTCTGTGGCGGTGGTGGGGATTGTGTGGTCCCAGCTCTTGTCTAACAAGAAGCAGCCCTCATTTTGTAAGCTTCTCTCCTCAAGCACTATGCAGCAGCGGAACTCAGTTTTATTATTTTGACCCATAGGCCATATCAAAACAGAACAGGCAGAGAAGCATTGTCTGGCATGAAGGAACAAAATCCTATTGAAACTGAATGAACATATGCAATGCAAATAATTATACTCAACAAATATCTCCGTAATGAGCTACCGCATTTTACCAAATAGATGTCAGACTTTTTGCAGTAAAGATAAAATATGTTACTTTCTCAGCAAGCAGCCTCTCTTCATTTGGAAAGAAAAACAAACAAACAGTTTTCTGTAAAAGAAAAAGTCATTTGCAAGGAGCTGAGAACCCTTTCATCACTTTAAGAGCTGTCAGATCTGCTTGTTCTTGCACACATGCAGTTACCATGGGTATGTTAGGACATCATGATAAATCCTGGTGCCTCCGGGCTCTCATGCCCTCCTCTGCTCTGATGCAACCACAAGGAGGCAATCAGAAGCCTTCACTTTGATTTTTGATTTACTACAGTTTATTATCATGCCTAAAAGCCCCAAATTCTGATTAATCTTAATCACAAATAGTTGAAACTAGCCAGCTTCATCTATAATATTCTGTTGGCTTCTTTTAAACAAACTTTGTTAACATTAACCATAGTTTGTGAGATTCAGTTGATAGTATAAGCTATAATTAATCAAAAGGGGGGTGGAGGGGATGGGGGGAGCATATATACTCACTATCATCACAATATACCATAGTTTACTGTGACATCCAAATGTACCCTATGGAACATGTACAGTGGGGAATGCACAATGGAATACAAATTACAGTTCTTCGAAATCACAGTTTCTTTGTTCCTTTTTAAAGGAGCAAGTTCCTAACTCTCCTGGCTACTTTTGTATTTGGAAGGGAGAGTTGCTGATAAGAAGATCGCTACCAGCACATTTATGGTATCCACTGCCTCCTTCCTTTCAGTTTCCTTTTCAACAGTTCTCATGCCAATGTCCCCAGACAGAATTTTAAAATTTAAAAGTATTTGCAAAGCAGTTTTGGGTTTCTCTGGAGAAAGGTGCTAAGAGGGAGCTTGCTAGAATCATAACAAGACTTGAACGCGGGGTGAGGCAGCCCTTGGGCATACTCTGGATTTTCACCACTGTTGACAACCTGAAAGTATGTCTTTCTTTTCTAGACCTTAATTTGGAATTTCTGCCACAGGTGCTCGGATGCAAGGGAATGCAGCTTCTGCCTGCAGCCTGTTCCCTAGAAGACCCATGCTATCTGCACTGGACAGTTGTAATGTGGATGCAGAGAACTGCTGTGCTGTTACTGGGCTTTTCTTCTTGGAGACCAGGAATATTTCAGCAACAGGTAGGAGAGAAGCAGCTTCCCCTTGGCTTCATTTTTGGTGGTTGTTTCACAACCTGCCTTTTGAGATGAGGGAATATAAAGATGGGGGTTGACTCTGTTATTTGTGTATTATTCAAGAATCCAGAAACTGCATCAATATTCTGGTTCAATCTTTATTCAGTGCCAAAGAACAGCCACATAGATGTATTTGTTTTTTAAAATAACATGCCAGTTGCAACTTTGGTTTCATCAATAGTACATTCTTAAAATATTGCATATAAACTAAGTCAGATAATATAGAAACTGGTGAGCCACTTTCCAACATCAGATCAATATTCTTTAGAAGAAATAACAGAAACCTTAACAGTGCACATAATTCTTTCTCAAAAGCACAGGTCTTGCAATGGTAGTTTAGTTCACACAATTCCTTGATGTGTATCATGAGCAAGAGGTATAAATGCAGGCTGCAGTTGTTCTGGAAGAAGAAATCAATGTGTTCTTTGTAAAATGCAACCATTCTGTAATGAAAGTTCATCACATAACCTAAAGTAAGGCAACGGCACTGGATCAAGCCTCTTCACATCACTAGGCCATTTATTCATCAAAAATTATCTTCGCTTTCACTGCACTGGACATGCTAAACATGCAGCTTGTAATTTAGAAACATAGAAACATAGAAAATAGAGGGAGTCAGAAGGGGTCTCCCGGGCCATCTAGTCTGACCCCTGGCTCCAGCCGGCTCCGCTCACGACATGCCCACCATGTGCATGTCCACCCTATCTTTGAACATCCTCACCAATGGGGCCTCAATGACCTCCCGTGGAAGCTCATTCCACACCCTCGGGGTCCTGACTGTCAGGAAGTCATGAAGTGCTTCCTGGCATCCAAACGAAACCTTGGCTCCCTGAGCTTTGCTCCAATGGAGCACGTCCTGCCTTCCTCTGCAGGGGAGAACAGGTCTCTACCCACCTCTGTGTGACATCCCCTCACATACTTGTATGTTGCCAACATATCCCCTCTGAGTCTCCTCTTCTCCAGGCTGAAGAGACCCAGTTCCCTCAGTCTCGCCTCATATCCCATCCCCTGCAAACTGGCCACCAACCTTGCGGCCCTATGTTGCACTGACTCTAACCTGGCTATATCCTTTCTGTAATGAGGGGCCAAAACTGAGCACAATACTCCAGTTGTGGGCGCACGAGAGTCGTATAGAGTGGTAGTAATACCTCTCTTGATCTAGAAGCCACACTTCTGGCTATGCAACCAAGGGTGGCGTTCGCCCTCTTGACCACCGCATCACACTGCTGACTCATGTTTAGCCTGCAGTCAACCAGTACCCCGAGGTCCCTTTCACAACTGCTGCTCTCCAGCCACTTGTCACCTAACCTGTACTTGTGACAGCTATTCCTATGCCCCAAGTGCAAGACCTTGCACTTATCCACATTGAACACCATCCTGTTGTCTCCTGCCCACTTCCATAGTCTGTCCAGATCCTTTTGGATCTGGAGTACCTGCTCCTCAGTTGTGGCCACTGCTCCAGTTTTAGTGTCGTCTGCGAACTTGATCAGCAGACTGTTCACCCCTTCTTCCATGTTGTTAATGAAAAGATTAAACAGGATCAGCCCCAGGACAGAGCCCTGGGGGACCCCGCTTGTCACTGGCCGCCATCCCGATGATTCCTCGCTAATGGTTACCTTCTGCTTTTGGTCAGTCAACCATGCCCTAATCCACCAGTCAGTGCTTTGGTGTATCCCAAAGCTCCTCAGTTTCTCCACCAGGATATGACGGGGCACTTTGTCAAAGCCCTTGCTGAAATCCAGGTATACCACATCCACTGCATCCCCTCCATCTAGCCATCGCGAAACCTTGTCATTTCTCTCGTGTTACTGCAACAGAGGTCCCTGAGAGAAGTGCCACAACTTCTACGTCTTCTATATTTAGCAATGGATGGCTGTCAACCACAATAGTCCTATTTGGTTCCCTTAGAGCTATACAAAGGTGAATACTTCCATTCTTTTTCTTCATCACAAGGTTAGGTGAAACCCATTCTGATGAATCAGTTGCTTCAGTAATATCATTCTGCACCCATTTCTTAAGTTCCTCTAAAACAGCACATCTAACAGAAAATGGTAGCTCTCATAATTAAGTTTCATTTTCACTTTATGAGCAGATTTCCTCTTGGCTCAACTCACTTCCCAAGTGAGGGCTGAACATAGGAAGAAGTCCAACAAACAAGAGGGCTGGATTCTGGGCATGGGCATCACAACCCTGATTTATACATGAGGAAAAATTAGTACATGCAAATGTTCTACAAGCCAGTGCCATTTTTTGCTTTCTCCTTCTCCTTTTGTGATTCAGTGCTTTGTGATGTGTCAGTAGCTACCTAAGACTGTATTAAATTTTTTTGCAGCCACATCACACCGCTGACACGTATTCAGCTTGTGATCAACTAAGCTCTTGAGAGCAGTTTTTCATGTATGTACATGGTGGCCACTTATAATCCATGGGAATGCATTATCACTGTAAAAGAAGGTACAGATTTATGTCACATGCACATATGGTAACTTATAGATGTAATTGCCAGTGTAGAAAGCATGGTTGCAATTCAAATAGAACTCAGATTGCACCACATGGGGGAGACTGCGACCAACTGATACGTATGCTTGGTTGTTTAGTCTACTGTCCAGGTTCTTGAGGGTGACTGGCAATATCTTACTTGTCATTCCTCATTTTTAAGCCAGGCTTCAACAGGAGTCCTGATAGCTCCGGTCTTTTGGCAGCCCTTCAAATAGAGGACTATCCTGTATAAACAAAGACATGGGGCCACCCTGTGTATGGCTGCCACAAGAGGCCACCTAGACTTGTGATCACAATGGCATTCTTCTTTTCCCTTTGTGCATTGCCATGACAGCAGCTGGGAGCAGCTATGGGTAAGAGCAGAAGAAAGCCTACTCTGGATCAGACCTGCACGCCATCTGCTCCAGCGTTCTGTGCACACCTTGGCAAAACGGCTGCCCCCAGGATCCTTCAGCGAGTAAATGCATACAGTAACTACCCACTGCCCAAACTCCCCAATAGCTGGTTGTTACCAGAGGTAGTACACATCCATATATAGTAGTAGCCACCGATGGCCTTCTCTTCCACAAAGCTATCCAAACCCTTTTAAAGCCATCAAAAATGATGTCCATTACTGCTTCTTATAACAGTGAATTACAGAGTTTAACTATGTGCTATGAGAAGGATTTCCTTTTATCTGTCACAAATCTGGGATGATTCCAGATAACAGTATTATGGGAGATGGAGAAAAAAAACATTTCTTTATTTGTAGTATTTATATGCTGTTTGATTAGCACAATGCACTCAAAATGGTTTACAAATGCCTTCCTCTTCACAAGGTAATTTTGGGTACCTTTCCCATGCGATAGTCTGGTCTTCTGAGCCTTTGCGTATGAAGGGCAAATGAACAGGTTGTGGCCTCCACTCTTTGCCTCCCACCTGTCCAAAAGGAGGCTGGGATGTGCTCCCTGATATAGATTCTGCTTTTCTCTCTCTGGCAAAACGAAGTGGGGATGGTGGCTGTTAGCAGTGCAGCCCGAAGCACACGAGGGCAGCATTTCATAAGCATGTTGATATTCAAGCAGGCCAAGTAGCCCACTGCCCCCTACACCTGCCTCTGTGGGCACATTTGTTCCATGTGGCAAGAGAAGTATTCAGCCGCGACTATCCAGGGAATTTTCAAGTCACCCCACGTTGCAGAACACAGCTGAGTGTCTCAGAGCAGCCGAACGTGCTTTGTGAGGGAGGTGGGACGCAGTCAAAGAAAGAAAGGCCTCCAGCCAACTTGTACTTGAAAGTACGGTTCTCCTTCCTGAGTCATCTGCTTTGGAGTGTCGGGTCTGTTGGAAGGCATCCTCAATATTTGAAGGACGGTCTTCCCAGAGCCTGGCACAAGGAACCACAAGGAAGAAAGACCTAGGGGCCTTCAAGTTGCCCATTCATAGTTAGCACCTGGAAAGAAGGTCAACTATTCAGTCTTCTCCACTGTGGTAGATGCATTGCATTTCTATTTAAATAAGTTATTCTTTCTAAATTTGAACCTATACATATAAATTTGCATATGTAAAAGCTATGCGGATTGGTGTCCCCTTTTGTCCGGCGATGGACTTCCTCTTTCTGGACAATGTGTAAGCAGTCAGCTATTCTTTGAATTCAGCCAGCCCAAAATTCACTCCAATCTTCAGGTGCCTTTCCCCCTTTCACCCCCTGAAAGAAATGAATATTGCTCGGCAAAATACATTGGCCCTGCACTAGTCTGACTCCCATCCTAGTTTAGCTACAATTGAGATGACTGTCCCCGATATTGACAGTGAATTACAATAACCTAAATGAGCAAGTCTGTAGACGAAGGCCGCTTACATGCAGGGAGCGAAACCAAGTATTGATTTATGTCCCCTGCGAGTCAGCAAGGCGCTGCAGGATGTTAAGTTGTGATGGAATTTAGACCAGTTGGGAGTTTTGCAGCAGCTAATCTAGGGAGCATAAAACCATTCCTCAGCTGCTTTTTCCAGGTGTTTTCTGAATCAAATTATCGTTCTTTTCCTCCAAGGCAAATTAGAATCTTTCTGCAGATTTATTGGCAATGATTTGGGAAATCTGTTGCCTTAAGGGTTATTTAGGGTTCTTTGCTGTCCATAAAGTACATACAATTGACAAGAAGAAGTTTGGTTTGCCAAAGAGAAAGCTATTTACATAAAGATTTACAGTCTCCTGAGCACGTTTTGCAAATAGAAAAATAAAAGGTCTTGAAATCACATTCCCAAGGCCCCGTTTCTTACTACTATAACTTTCAGAGTGGGGTGCCTATGGAATGGGCCATATTTTACTGCTGTTGGAAAACTGTAATATTAAAGTGGACAGTAAAAGTCAAACAAACAGAATACAAATCTAATGGGACTCACACACTGGATAGCAGCTTCTGATGTGAAAAGAGCAATCCCATTCAGATAATTAAGCCAAGAAAACAATGAACAATTTCATTATAGCATTCCATGCAGGACACGTCAAAAGACCTGTTCAAGTTCAAGGGTGATATTCCATGTGTGCTAACATTACAGCAAATCCCTTTGAATGTAGTGGGATTTACTCCCAGGTGGACTTGCTCCAGGCTGAGTTGCACAGCACTTAGGAATGAAAGCCAAAGGTTCCAGTTACTTCTGGAACATGGGGAAATGTTATGGGCTTCTCTCTGGTGTGTCTAAAACCTGCATGCTACTTGCAGCCTGAGATGATATTTCATCTCCTTACAGGATGCAAAGAATGCTGGGCTGCTCTAATGCCAGACGTATGTATTGGCTTTGGAAGCCAATACAGCCCACATATCTAGCCAGGAGTTCATGGTGTACCCCCCCACCCCCCTGAGGTCCCACATTCTGAGTCCCTCCCTTTTTGTACACCCACCTATACAAGCAAAGCAGCAGTGTCTGGTCACTAACCAGTGTTGGTGGGACAGTGTATCCACTCTAGGTTTCAGTCTGAACATGGTGCTTGAGCGTATTTTAGGGTCTGATGTCCACCAAGAGCCATCATTCAATCATGCCTTCAGTCAGGCCCTAATGACCTTACTACCTTTTCACCTTGACATACAACTGAATTAGTTTATTGAGTTCCCTTGTGTAAATGCTTAGGCTTCAATCCCATGCTCACTTCCTGGAAGTAAGCCCCATTGAACTCAGTTGGACTTACTTCTGAGCAGAAATGTGCAGGGTTGCACTCATAATGGTTTAAGGGTAAAATAGACAGAAAAACGGCCCCCTTTCTGCCAAAACATGCATAGGATTGCACGATTGTTAAATGCTGATATCTTGATTTTATGATTGTTTTAGCATGTTCTATGGTTTTAATTTTGCATGCTACATGGGAAGTGTTTTCCTAAAAGGTGGACAATAAGCGTTTTAAGGCAATGAGTACATGGTTTCTGGTGTATCATGGCAGCACTGCACCGTAGAATGTGGGTAAATCCTGAATGTTCCACCTGTATGAGGCTAACAGTAACCACAACTTATACTAAGGCCTGTGCAGCATTGCTGCTTCTGCATTCCCTCTACACCACTCCCTGCATTTGGACTCGTGCTGTCAAAATGCATATTTATCACCTTTGTGTCCTATGTTCTCCTATGTTCCCCGGATTGACTCAAGGCACAAAATGGGAGTGACTTTTATATTCTCACAACAATCCTGTGAGGAACGTTATCTTGAAGGCAGTGATGGGCTTAAGGTTACCCAGTGAACTTCATGGTTCAGCAGTGAGCTCAAACCAGGTTTCCCTGATCCAAGTCCAACTCTACCTTACATGTAGTCATGACTTTCGCAGGAAGATGTGCATCCTATACCTGTCCCAAAGGCAGGAAGAAATGGACACCTTAGCTCAATGGCAGGCACATGCCCTCTCAGCTCAGCCTCCAGCCAAATTTTCCTGATGGCAGTTGTTGGAAAAGGTCCTGATGAGACATCATGGGCAGCCACTGCCAGCCAAGCAGAGAGCACCGAGCTAGCTGAATCAAAACATTTGTGTTTTGTGTTTAAAACATTTGCATACATTGCACTATATTACAGCTTAGTGCATCCTTCCCTGTGGCTGCATAGCTGGGCGCCTGTCAAGGTCCCACACACCAGCAAGGACCCACTGGCAAGAACCCTCTGGACTGGCTTTTCCTCTTCACCATTCCGGCTGGCTTCTGTGCTTGACCAGACAAGGGAGGAGGTGAGAAAGAATGACACTTGCCACTACCCTGTTGCTCCCTGGCTCTCTGTCTGTCAAGCAAACCAGTGGTCATCTCAATAAGAAAGAGGATGGGACCCAGAGCAGCTGGTAGACCTGCTGAAAGAGGGCGGGCATTGGGGGTGTCTTCTACAAGGGCCCTCAAAACACTGGAGCAAGTACCGCCTGGCATCCTTCAGATGTGTTGGACTTTCATAATCTCCAGGCCATTCTGGCTGAGGTTGAGAGGAATTGCATACCAACACATTTCGAACATGCTAGAGTATGATATTTTTTCCTATTGCAACCTCCAGTTGTGAAAGCTGAACAATGAAAAAGGTAGATAAGAGGAAAATTGATTCATTTGAACTGTTGTGTTGTGGAGGCTCCTGCACATTCCATGGGCAGTGGGAGCCACAAACAAGCCGGTGCTGGAGCATATTAAACTGGACGCATCCTGGCCGGCAAGATAACAAAGCTGAGACTCAGTTATTTTGGCCACGTTATGGGAACAAACGCATTAGAAAAAGAGATAATGCTCAGCGGCAAGAGAAAACCAGGTCACCAAAGAGCAAGGTTGTTAGGCTCCATCAAAGAGGATGCAGACCAGAACATAGTTCAGCTGAAAAAGGTGAAACTGGATCAAAATGTGTGGTGAGATTTGGCTCATAGTCAAATTGCTTATGGTCGGACGTGACTGAACAGATGAACAATAACAAAGATTGTGGAAAGTGACTATTCATATACCTCCATTTGATTTTCGTGCGTAGGTTTGGACTAATAACTTTTCTAATGTACCATTTATGTTTAGGAGGAGCAAACCTGGTATCTTGTGGAGGATCTGGCTATGTCCAGTTTTGGAATACACAGAGAGGCAGGCTGCTGGCAGAGTTTGAGGCTCACAGTGGAGTGGGGTCCATTATCATGGCTGTTGATGAAAGAAGCCAGTACCTTGTTACAGGGGATCTGGTTGGATGGGTGAAGATATGGAACATAGAGGTAAGATGAAAGATTGATACATTGACCATGCAGAGGTGACACCCTTGGAAAAGAAATAAAGGTCCTATTCAAAGAAAAGTCCAAATACTGATCATCTAGTGTCACATAAAGTACTCTAAAAAAGGCAATTATATTGCTCAGAATTAAAAAAAAAACCTGATGAAAGCCATTTATGTTTCATGCAATTGAACTCCAGTTCATTCTCTAGCATTTCCAATTAATGAATGTTAAGCCGCAGGTCTAGGATAAACCTCATTTTGAGATGTCGTGGGTGTCCACTGGTAAAAATCAACAGTAGAAGTGGACTGTATTAACTTTTCTCCACCTAATTGCCTCCAGATGTTTTGAGCTACAACGTTTGACATTTGTGACTAATAGCCTTGTTAACTGGGTCTGATGTGAGTTGATCTTCAAAAAATCTGGAAGACACCAGGTTGAGGAAGACTGGACTTGAGGTATCAGTAGGCTGAATCAATGTAATGCAGCTTCATAAGGTTATTTGCAAATTTAGAAGTTCCCTTCAAAGTGTGCACATCTGTCTTTATCACACATACTTTGTTCTTGGATTGCATGGAATTCACCCCAGTGTTTGGATGAATGACTATGACTATGTCTAACCTGTGAGCAGGACACTGCCAAGTAGCTTCTACCCTGAAATTACTCACGGGGACTGACCAGAAGTATCATATTAGGCCAGTGCTGCCAGTCCATGTCTAGGCCAGTTCAAAAAGCTCATATTAACATTTAAAGCCATAAATGACTTTGGATTGGAAAGATCATCTTATACCATATCTACCTGCCCAGTGCTAAGATCATCCTCAGCAGAACTTCTGTGGGAGTCCCAGCCAAAGAAGAGAGGTGTGTGGCTGCTTGGAAAAAGGTCTTTTCTGGTGTGGAACCTCAGTTGTGACACAAGCTTCCCAGAGAGGTTTCTCTGGTACCTACACTGTATTCCTTGCACCACCAGGTGAAGATCTTCTTATCCCCTGAATTTTTCAAAGAACACAGGCTCAGCCTCTGTTTTAAACACTTTACTGTATTTTAAATCATTGTGCTGCCGCTGGGTTTTACTTCGGTTCTATTTTATTATGTCCATGGATGCAGCACAAATGCCTTCAGGGGAAGGACTTTTGCACACAGTTCTGTGTGTGATGTAAAACCATGCACTACCAGAATTGCAGTTCACCACTGTGTGGCACACATCTGGCTTGTAAGCCATTCACTTGCTTGTAAGCAGCATATACATTGAAATATAAATAAACGGATAAACAAATACCTTCTACCGGCACATGCACACGCTGTGTATCACTGCCAAGGGGAAGGGGCATGTGACATGTTGGTCTTAGGCATTATCCATGTCATGAGAAATATGTCCACATAGGATGGATGTGCTGAAGTGAGGATCACTTACTTAGGTATCCTCAAAACTGCTTCAGATTTATTCATACAAGATAAGTCTGCCAGTAGCTTTGGAAGTCCCCCCACCCCCCGATTTATATCCTGCCTTTTTCCTACAAAGGGCTCAAGGCAGCTTACATCTCCTTCTCCACCTTATCCCCACAACAACCACCCTGTGAGGTAGGTTGGGCTGAGAGTCTGTGACCGGACCAAAGTCACCCAGTTGGCTCCATGGCCGAGTGGGGACTGGAACCCAGATCGCCTGAGTCCCAGTCCCATGCTCTTCACCACTACACCACACTGGCTCTCCAGTGGGTTCAGAGGAAGATTTCCACTGAATATAAACAGGGAAGTCTGTATTCATCATTTATTTAGTTATTTATTATTACTTATATGTTGATCTTGTCTCTTTTTTGGCAAGGAATCCAAGGTGAATTACAGGTCTCCCCTTTCTATTTTATCCCCACAACAGCTTTGTGAAGTAGATTAGGCCAAAAGTCACCCAAGGAGTTCCATGACCAAATAGGGAATAGAATCCATGTCTAATACTTTACCCACTACACTGCACTAACAGTCTTACTTCTGAGGTTCCTGAAAGTATCTGGCTAACCGCAGATGGAAAAAGAATGATGGAGTAGAGAGGCAGTTGGTTCGCTTGCAGAGAGCAATTCTTCAGCAATGAAGACCGGCACACGCGTGTGAGTGGAGCTGATTTGCATGGTTCAGTCAGCACTGCACTGGAAGGCTGACTTTTGAGTGTGATCGGCTGAGCCCACACTGCTGGGGCGTTCACATGCATCTGTAGCAGGAAAAGCAAGGAGCTCTGGTGCGGCTGTGGGTGAAGGTGGCCATACCGAGAGGCCACAGAGATGAGCCAATTAACAAGGTGGCCCCATGGTGCAAGCTCTGTTTCTGCAACCATCTGATCACCACAGCCCTTGTTTACTGTCTGATTTCCTCCAGGATTTTTGCCTTATTTGGGGAGAAAATGTAGTAACTCAACCGCCCACTATGATCAGTTCATTTCAAGCGCATGATGACCGCATCACTTGTCTGGAGACCTGCAGACAAAATAACTGCCTTTTCATCTTGTCAGCCTCGACAGACTGCAGGATTGTTCTCACTGACGTTTCTGGCATTCCATGTGGAATATTTGGACAGGTAGATATGCTGTTTGCTTACCATCTTTTGACATGATTATTTCTTCCTCCTCATCACTGCATTCATTATCATCATTTAAGAACACATGTTGTCAAGGATTCCTGCAGAAATCTTACCCTGGGGGAAGAAATATAATCTGCATCCCGCTCTCCACACAGACTATTCTCCCTTGCCACAAATACATAAAGTGACAATTCACAAGGACTTTGGCACATCTCCCCTTCAAATAAGCTGAAGGCTATGTTTGAAATTACAGGGAGGTAAATGCTTTCCTCAAAGCACAGATAACTCAAAGGAATAATTGGATGGGTTGTAATTTCTTTAAATAAAGGCATAAAGCTGAGATAATTTCACATTCTGGACTAGATAAGTACCAGCTCTTAGGAGCTTAATGTCTAACCTGTATTTTGAAATGGGAGCCTCCCACCTTTTAGATAAGCTTGGAGTAGTTCTGCTCCTGGATGTGTGCTCCAAAAATGTGTTGTTTTGGAAACCTAGTGCTTGGCATAATCTGAAGATCTCATTTAGTGGGTACAAAAGGAGGAGAGGGCGACTTCTAGATGAAAGAGGAAATAGGCCAGCAACCCACCTCAGTAGGATGCTGTAAGGGAAAAGGTGCTGCTTCCCAGGTCATCCTTCCACCTGTTGTCCATGAACGACTTCCTTTCTCTGAGCTAAGCTGCTGCTTTGTTGCCAGGCTTTAGGTGGACTCTTCCTACAGAAGGGGATGCCTTAAATCAGGGGTGTTGAAATTGCTTCAGCCTGTGGGGTAAATGGACCAATACCTGGCTCCACATCTGGAGAAGTTCTCAAGGGGCACATGCTAGCGGAAGGCAGGGCCAAAGGGAAAAGGGTGAGCAGAAAATTATCCTCACGTTGAGCTTACTGCTCTTGCTGCCAGTAACTACCTCTACAAGAGGCACTGCAATACTTTAGAAAAAGAGAAAGGGATAGATCCAAAAAGCGCCAGTTTTTTTGGCTCTATGGGCACATTTGGGAATTGGAGGAACTGCTGTAGGCAGCACCACAAAATGGTTTTCCAAGAAACTGGCTAGTAATATTTTAGCTGAGGAGCAAATCGAGACACAGAAGGCTAGAGGCTGGGAGGGAGGGAAAGAGGACTGTCCTCATCTTTTCCCCTGTTTTCATGTATGTTTTTGAAGAGACAGGAAGTGGAGGACTCTGTAGGCATGGTTGGAAGCCCTCCAGGTGCTGTGGTGCCCCTGAGCATCATGTCAGGGACCCCTGCTCTATACCATTGCTAAAGAACACGTAAATGTACCAGCACCATCTTGCAGATGCCTTTTAGGCCATGGAGAGCACACATGAAGGCAAATTAAAGTAGTGGGTGATTACCCAAGGTCTGGCTGCTAATAGTATTTCGGAAGATATGAGCATCTTGGGATAATGGCAGAAATCTTTAAGATGATGATATATTTTGGTATTTATTATATTTCTTTCCTGATGTGTTGGTTCCCTTCCTGAAAAATAACCTTGCTCAAGGCAGGGAAATATCTAATAACCCATTCACACTAACAAGTGAAAAATATATGTATGTATCAATCACAGTACAGAAGAATAGAATGCCAGCCTTTGTTCAGTCAGTCTTTAGGCTCTCCGAGTTGCCAGAAACTTCACGGCAGTCCAGCCTGGCATGAGTAAGCTTGTCCTTCATTAGTGTCTGGCTTTACCTCCTGGGGAGCCACAGTGGCAGAAATAGATGATTCCATCACTGTTCACACAGGAACTGAATCTCCACTTATGAGCAAACAAACAAGTTGTTATGTGCATCAAGTTGCCTCTGACTTACTGCAGCCCTATGGATGAATGCCCTCAAAATGGTCGTGTCCAGATTTGAAAAAGAGGTAGTCATCGGAGCTCTTCTGACTGAGTTTTAGAGGCAGAATGAAGATATTCTCAATTAATATTAATGCACTGAATTTTTTTAATAGAATTAAAGACGTTTTTCAGGAATCTTAAGAATATATTGTCAGTGAGCCTTTCAGGGAATATGTCAGAGTTATAACTGTAGTAGGTTCGGGAGGGGGATTACCAGAGATTACCCAACAATTGAAGGATGGAGAATTGGACTGGTGGAGTACGTTGTTTAGAAGATTGTTAGAGGAATGTGCGGCATGATAAGTGGATCTGAGGTGTTTAGAAAAGATAGAGAAAGCTGCAGAGGATCTGAAGTGATTGGAGGATTTGTTGTTGTATAGATGAAGAATTTCTTTTGCATTACATTTTTATGGACTGTTGAAAGACAGGAAGATGGGTAGATTTCGGAGGCTGATTGTATAAATTGGCTCTGTATCAAATTCCCTTGGGCAAATTCGTCGATTTCAGCTTGCTGTTTTGCTTTAAATAAATAAATGAATAAATAATTTTTAAAAGAAAAAAAAAAAGAACCTGTCCTTGACAGCCCTGCTCTTGTAAATTCAAGTCTGTGGCTTCCTTTGTGGAATTGATCCATTTAGTATTTGGTCATCTTCGTCCTCCTCCTCCTCCCTTAGATGTTCCCTAGAATTATTGTCTTATTTGGTGAGCCTTGCCTTTTCACAATGTGCCTGAGGTAACACAGCCACCGTTTCATCATTTTTGTTCCCATGGCAGGTTCCAGCTTGATTTAATCTAGGATCCACTCAGTTTTCTGTCTGTTGGGATTCAGGATCCACAAAGCTCTCCTAGAGCACCAACTTTCAAATACATCAATCTTCCTTGGGCAAACTTAAGGAACCTGAAAACACTCTCTCTTTTTTGCTTTGTGTGTGTGTGTGCTTTCATGTATTCACATTGCCAAATGGGAACTGTAGACTGGGGGATGGGAAGGACATGTGTTGCTGAGAAAACTTCCATGAGATCAGGTCAGATCAGTGAGAAGCCATCACCCTCCCCATGCTATCAGGTCCTTCACTTGTGTACCAGTCCGTCAGAAATTTTGAGTTGCCCAAGGATGATCATATCAGCAAAAGCACAAGAGAACCCACAAAGGAATTTTGAACGTCTGCATGGTAAAGTATCTGTCCACCAAATGTACAGGCATACGTGACATGTGTCTGACTGAAGCCAACCTGAACTGAACAAGCTTGGAAAAAATCTTCGCAACAATGCCTTGGAAAGAACAGAGCAGGAATTATTCCCTTGCTGCAAATAACCTCATATACTGGCCCTCTCATGCATTGTGCTTTTGTAAAGGTCACCCCATTTACATGAGACAGAAGCACGCCCTGTCCTTGGAGCATAAGCAACTTTCCAGACTTTCACGGTAGCGATGGAAGCTGGGGCATTTTTCTGTGAAGTACAAAACAAATGGGCCATAAGAAAAACTCATGAAGGAATGACAGTTTCTGAGACTGAATCAGGCATTAGTGATCAAATTCTGACATTCACCAATTGTAGCAGCCATCCTTGTCTGATGAATGCCAACCAGGCAGGGGCAAAAGCAGACTGTCTCCTTGAAATGGCTTGTAATTAATGATGAGCCGGCAACATGTCTTTGGGGGTGAGCTTATGCACTCCACAACAGAAATGACTACTGGGGGCATCGTGCAATTGGTGAACCTTCTTGGCAGTGCAGTGTCAGAGCAATTTGGGCTCCATGGTAAAAATTAGAAAAAGACCACCACCTAAGAAGGCAGTGGAATGCCCCCAGTGTTGACGGATTAGTTACTACCCCCACTGTTATCAATACTTCTAGTCCAATTAATCTTGAGAAATGTGGGTTAAGAGAGCCTAGAAAATAAATACATCCAGTCTGATGCACCTAGCCTCCTGTGTTACCATCCATTGTACCAGCTTTGGGAATGGCAGGCCCTCCATTACCCATCTTAATGTGTGCTGATCCAAGATGGAGAGATCTACGCTCATCCCTTAAACCAATCTTCCCTAAGCTGGTGCCTTCCAAATGTGTTGTCTTGCAACTCCTGTTATTCCCAGACAGCCTGAACCCGAAGCCCCACAAAAGGGTGTGAACTGATGTTCAAAAGCAGAACCTGAAATGAAAGGTCTGAAAATGAGTTCTCTCTTGGGATCCTGCTACTCCAAAGAAAATAAGAAACACAGGTAGAAACACAGGAACTCAGAGGGTAGAGACAAAGAGGGGAAATGAGGGTGTGAAGTTGGCTTTGCCTGAAGGGTGACTGCCAATAAACTGCTGAGTCCATGCGTAGCATCATCCAAGTGAATCCAGATGTGTGTTCTCCTGGTCCTGCCATTGAGATTTCCTGGTAGTTCCAATACACACTTCAGAACATAGCAGAGCAAACTACGAAGGATCATTCTGTAGCCTGTATGGCAAGGCAGAGAAGGTTCTAGTCCAGCAGTGAGCTTGAAGGGCCTATTTTGCCTTTTTAGTGGTATGCTGAGGTCTACCAACCACAGCCAAACATTTATTGGTGGCTCAAAGGGCGGGGAACAATCAATACATCTCTTGATCTATACAGGGGAAGATGTCCATGTCTGTTTCTGAATTACCATAAACCAGGGATTCTAATACAGCACTCTAAAAAGGGGCAATGAACTGGTCAAAATCTACTAACTAGTGTTTTTTTCCCCAGATGAGGATCACCGAGGCAGAGCAAAAAAACAATTAGCAGAAGGCTTCTCCTGGCAGAAGTTTGCTGCTCTTGTTATAGTTACTATTGTTTGCTCTTATTAAGGTCAGAAACTTTTGGAGCTTTACTCAAAACCACCCAGAGATTTACCAGTAGATCTTGATCTGCCTTTCCCTGTCCTAGTCCATTTCAGGTTGCAAACCTGTGTTGAAACATGCACAGGACTACGCCCTTGGCCTCCCAAGCAGAAAATGGTGCACAAAAGTGATCCTGTCTTGCAGATATCATATACAATGTTTGTCTAATATGTATTTTACACTCTGTTCTGTTTTAGGAAGGACATTGGAGAATTGGAAGTTATGTCCAGTCCTTCCCCAATGCAGAAAACAAGCCCCAAACAAAGGAGAAGAGTAACATTAAAAAGGACAATTTTGTGCCCTCTCTCAAAGATGATCTTCCCTCTAATCCTCTGGAACAAGTTGCACCTGTTTTAGAGGATAAAGATGACTCTGTATTCATGTAAGCAATTTCTCTAAAAGCTGATTTGCAGTGACAAGTTCTGAGAGGGTAGGCTATTAAGAATGAGCCAAAGTATCTAATTATCAGAAGCTTCCTTTCAGAGGCAATATTTTAAGTAGGACTGGCAAGGAAATGAATTTCTTGTCTTGTTGGTGTCCCTGGACACCAGCTTTTCTTTTGGCCCAACTTAGAAAGCTTTGAGGAACAACAACAACAACAACAACAAAGGTGGGGGCATGCTGGAGTAGATTTAGCATGAGAGTGATAAGGGATGCCCTTTTCTCTGCACTTTTGTTTAGCTAAAGATCTTTCCATGGCAGATGTTAATGACCAGAAGGTGTTGGTTGAAACAAGCCTTGATGTCCAAAGTGTTTTTGGCAGGAAATTGAGTTCTGAAGCTGGCTGGCAGTGTTTGAAGGTGGCTGTGGGTGAATACTCATTGCTTTGGGGCAATGAAACTCAGTCTGGCTGACTGCTGGTCTGCTCATCCTTCCTCAGCTTGTGCACGTACAGGTAGAGCAGGTGCACTGCAAGTGTCCAGTCTTCTCTCTCCAAAAGGCAGGTGACTCATAAAGACTGCTTTTGAAACTCCCCACTGCTTGGGCAAGTGAGGGGACAACCAGACAATATTTTTCTTCTGTCTCTTCTGAGCCTGCTATGGCTATGAAAGACTGCTCAGAACCTGAACCTGGAGGGGAAGCAGAGGCCAAGATATTGGCTTATCTTTCCAGAGCTGAAACAGCTCCATTGGCTTTTATCCATTTTCAGGCACAATTCAGAGTGTTCATTTTAATGTTTAAAGCTTGATAAGGCTACTGGGGGAGAAGATCCTCATTGTTGATCCTCATTGCAGCAGCATCTGCCCCTCCACCAAGGAGTTTGGGGAAGCCTTCATGGTTTCCTCATCATGGCCATGATGTCTGTGAAGTATGTGAGATTATCTCAGCGTTACCCTGCTTCATCTCTTGTACAGGTGCCATGGATAGCAACTTCAGGCCATCTGCTCCAGCCTCTTATGGCTCTAGAATGGGCTTGGACATGATGACCTTTCAAAAAGGGCATAGTTTCAGACCAGGAACTGCCCTGTGAGAGCACTTCAAATAGAGGACTGTTCCTTCTAAAGTAGGATACATGACAACCTTACCACTCCCACCACCCAGAGAACTAGGCTGTGGGACAAGGTCTGCCTCAGAGACCCTTCTCCCTGTGCCCTTTTCTTCAGAGAATATGGGATGGGCTCCAGGGAAAAGACCTTCTTGGTAGTTGCCCCCAGCCGATGCCGTGTTTTCCCAGAGACTCCCCTTTTTGTCTCAGCCTTGTAGCCAGTTACTGTTGCTCACTGCTTGTAATTCTGTTTCACATGGAATGATCTTATTCTGCTATTTCATTGCTAAGTTTTAAAAAATTCCGTTCCTGAATTTTATGCATCCATTTGGGTTATTTTAGTAGGTCATTTTTATGGTCTTTTCATTTTTTGTATCTTTATGGTTCTTAAGCTGTTGCTTTTGTTCTTTGTTCCCTGTTCTGGGAATTGGTTTTAAACTGAAAAGGAAGCTTGAAATACCTGAAACAAATGAGTACAATAAAAGGTAGGGGTGTTTTTTGGCTCTCAACCTGCTCTAGACACACAGCAGCCTGATAAAGATGAAATGTAGCATGCAAAGTTTTTTCCAAATACCAGGAAAATCTTCATCCACAGGATGTCTGAATCCCAGGCCATTAAAAACACAAAAGCAGGGTCTGTGGCAGTGCAATCTGTAGGCATATCTACAGCAGTGCATTGTGTTTTCCTTTAGAAATACACTTTATATCTTCCTTATATTAGAACAGCAAGATGCAAGAATAGATTTAATGACAAATTGGTTTAATTTTGCACTTCCGATGCCTGAGAGGTTAGAGGTGCAAAGCTCTTTGATTCTGAGTGAGCTCATATATTGCAAAATGGATAAATCTTTCATGGTCCTTTGTAATGTATACTATAGCCAAGCATAAGAACAGTAAAATTATACTTCGACTAAGTGCTTCCTCAGTTTTAAATAACTTCCTTGAAGTAACATAATGAAGCCTTTGTATTATTAAACATTTTAATAAGCTTGGGTAAAAGAAATGTATGCCTCGTGTGCAGACACAGTGCTTGAAGGAATCATTGATCCAACCCTGTTCACCAACAGTTTTCTGAATCAGGTTAGAAAAGATGCTGACTAAAGCTACAGGGCAGGATCCAGACAGCGTACTTGGTGTAGTAACTGGTGCAATAGGAGTTCTGGTGCTCCCTTGTTTCAGGAAGGCCTGACACACAATTTTCCAGAAGATTTATTTCTTTTTCCCACCCTCCTCTGGAAAATGCATCCTCTGAAGAAAATTCCCCAACATTCTCCAAATTCTCCTCAAGAGGGCGAATGCCACTCTTGGTTGCACAGCCAGAAGCATGGTTTCTAGATCAAGAGATTACTACCACTCTGCACGACTCTGGTGCGCCCGCAGCTTGAGTATTGTGTTCAGTTCTGGGCCCCTCATTACAGGAAGGATATAGCCAGGTTGGAGTCAGTGCAGCGCAGGGCCACAAGGTTGGTGGCTGGATTGCAAGGAAAGCCATTTGAGGTGAGACTGAGGGAACTGGGTCTCTTCAGCCTGGAGAAAAGGAAACTCTGAGCAGATCTGTTGGCAAGATATAGGTACATGAGGGGGTGTCACATGGAGGTGGGTAGAGACTTGTTCTCTCCTGCAGAGGAAGGCAGGATGTGCTCCAACGGAGCCAGGTTCAAGGAACCAAGGTTCAATTTGGATGCCAGGAAGTACTTCCTGACAGTTAGTACCCCGAGGGTATGGAATGGGCTTCCCCGGGAGGTGGTTGAAGCCCCATCGGTGAGGGTGTTCAAGGATAGGCTGGACATGCACATAGTGGGCATGTCATGAGCAGAGCCATCTGGAGACTGGGGTCAGACTGGATGGCCTGGGAGACCCCTTCTGACTTGCTCTGTTTCTATGTTTCTAAGATTTGTGTGTGCATATGTGGGGCAGACTCTCTATTTCCCCCTCAATACCCTGGAATTATAGAAGGCTGAGCTCCAAAGAGATCTTCCAAACAGAGGCAATGGGCATTAAAATTGACAAATGCAGTGGAAGCAAGTATACATTGGTGAATGTTGTTGGCAGCAACCCAACTTCATGCATACAGTGATGAGATCAGAGCTGGCGGTGACTTGCCAAGACAGAGAAGTTACAATTGTTAGGCACAGCTTCATGAAACAATATACCAGAGTGTAGCCACTGTGAAAAAGGCAGATTCCACATTGGGCACAATTAGAAACAACTGAAAATAGAGCGGCCAGTATTGTACTGCAAATCTATATGGTGCAATCAGGCTTGGAATGCTGTGAACAGTTCTGGTCACCACAACTATAAAAGGATAGTGAAGAGCTGGAGGCGTTGCAGAAAAGGGCAAGCAAATAATCAAGGAGTTGGAGCAATTCCCCTATGCTAAGAAAGGAAAGGTTGCAATGTCTGGGACTGCTAAATAGTCAGGTTAGCAGACTGCTTAATTAGAGCATGAGGCAAACTGGAGCAAATCCTGTGCCTGAAACTAAAACTGTGCACAAAGATCTTCTCAAAAATTTCTGCCTTATTTGTAGGCTGAGAAATTGGGGATGTGGAATCTCGTCATGGAATTTCTCCAAGGGGAGGAGCTCCTCCTCCTCCTCCTCCTCCTCCTCCTCCTCCTCCTCCTCCTCCTCCTTTTTCCCTTGTTTCCCCCTCCGGTTGCCATGCCAGTAGCAACTGTATTTTGGCTTCCTGGCCACCAATTTTCTTCAGAAGAACATAAGAAGAGGGGGGCCAGGTCGGAGCAAAGGCCTATGAATGCAACGGCCGTCTCCTCTCACACACATGCAGGCAGAAGACTGCCATTGCACAGCACGTTGCTTCCAATTTTGGAGGCAGCCTATGGCCATCAGGACTAATATCCATTGAGACCCTTCTTTCCCATGCATTTCTTTCAAGGCATCCAAGATGGTAGCTATCACTAGCGTTATGAGGAAGACCCACAGAATCCATCCCGCTAGTATTTGCAGACTTCTTCTAGTGCTCAGCCTGGTCTCAGGTTGCAACTGGCAACCTTCTTCCATGTCAAGTACAGCAGCAGCAAAGGTTGCTGCACCTGATGCCTCTTGCCCTGTGGTCATGTGGGGTGTGATTCCTGGAGAGTGCCAGGTGAATTTTGAGTGTGCTTGCCAGGAAGTCAGACTCACAGCCACAATAAAGTGAACCAGAGTCTGGGGAGCTGGCCCTAGGAAAGCTGATGGGTTCCTAACCCCACAATGGATTCCTAACCCCTAGCATCCTATGAATTCCATGGCTGGCTATGAATTCCATAGCTTAGCTATAGCTGTGTGAGGGACTTCCTTATATCTGTCCTGAATCTCCCACCAAACAGCTTCATGGGATGACCCCAGGTTCTAGTATTATAGTACAGGGAGAAAAATGTCTCCTTACTTTCTCCACACCACATGTAGTTTTAAATACCTCTATCCTGCTTTCTTGCCTTTTTTCTAATCTAAAAAGCTTCCAATATCATATTTCCTCATATAAGGAAGACCTAAAAAGAGTGACTGCAGGTACTGTTTTAGTTGTGCTAACAAAACAGAAGTAGGTTATAAAGTGCCGGAGTGTGAAAATATACTTCCTACTAAAAATAAATTTAAGATCTTATTTTTATACAAGGTTCTTGCTGAAAATTAGCTCATGTGTTATATTTATCTTTATTTAGGTGTAGGTTTGCGTGGAACTTTGTAAGAAGATCATGCTGCTAATGAGACTGGAGCTAAATTTGCTAGATTTTTACTAATCCACTCACCCACTCATATCTATATCCATCCATCCATCCATCCATCCATCCGTCCGTCCAATCAGTTTCTATTTCTAGCTCAGTTGAACATAATAGCTGAGAGTGGACATCTTTATTCCTTCATCTCCCAGAAGATTTTTAGAATCAGGTATTTTTAGTATATAGCAGGGGTGACCAAACTGAGGCTCAGGAACTGCATGCAGCTCTTTGAATTTATTTTGTGACTTGCAGAGGGCTTGAAGCCTCTCCCCATTCCCTCTCCCCAGCCCAGATCCCAGGGATGGCATGGACAACATTGTGGCACGCTCTCCGGAGACGACTGTCCTGTCCTGCTCTCTTCCTGAGGCTCGTGGACATGGTTGCCCAGTGGCTCTTTGGTTAATATGAACATTTACTATAGCTATTACAATTGCTTCTGATGAAACCAGAATTAGTGAAGAAGATGTCAAGGGCAGTGCTTTTCTATTCCCCTGCTTCAACTCCCCCCACCCTTGGCTGGTTCTGAAAGTATCTCTATAAAGGCAACTCTTGTTTGAAAATCTGCAGGGTAAAAAGCCACTTGTGAAGCACCTTCGGAACAGGGAATTAGCAGAAAGCAATAACATTATACATTGCTAATATTTTCTTGCTTGGCCTGACTGGATGTATCTTTTCATGCAAATAATGAGGAGGCTGCTACTTTTATACATCCACTGAGACTCGAGCCCTCAATAGAATTGGAACTGGTAACCTATGGCAGAGCTACCATCAAGGCTATGCATGAAGGACCAGACCCAGAAGGTCCCCAATGACAAGAGCCCCTGGAATTGCTTTTCCCCTTCTCTGGCTTGGTTCACCTCACCGCCTCTTGCTCTAGTCCAGAGACTAGTGATGGTTAGAAAGAGGAGCAGTAAATGTTGCAGCCTACTAGGCTTTACTCTGAAGATAATGAGGCAGGATGAGGAATGGTAGCAGTTCATGACAATGATGGTGAGAAGACCATTGAAGGTGTCTTGCTCAAGCACTCTTAGAATCCTGAATCCAGTTCTCACCTGAGGAACACTGGATAGGTATGTGCCTGCACATAGCTCTGGGCAAAGGAAGAAGCTACAGGGAGATCGGCCAAGGAAATCTTAGTTTCCAAGAGCTAATCTTGCAAAGACAATATTCCTTCAACACTGTGAAAACCTTCTGGCTCAGACTGGATCACTGGTCTGGGCAATGGGGATTCCTGCCTTGGATATATCTAGGCTGGATTATTGGGTGGGTTTTTCTAAAGCACTTGGCATGGGGCTCTCTTTGAAAGACATCCAGAAATTTCATCTAGTTCCAAACACAGCAGCTGGACTCTTAACTGGGATGCTTCAGCATATCACTCTGGTCTGTTCCATCTGCACTACTGATTAATCTTCTCCTGCACTCAATTCAGAGTGCTGGTTTTAAATGCGCTAGATGAGGTCATCTCATGAGCTGGCTACATTTATATGCACAGGGCTGAGCTGTGCTGAGACCCTGCAGATTGTCAGTGAAAACATTCTGTTTGACTTCTAATCCTGCCTCTCGGTTATCTTGTGAGTGGTCCGTAGGGGATGTCCCTGCTACCATCTGACAGTTTGTGGGTGGCAATGTGGCACAGAGCTTTTTCTACTACAATGTCTAGATCTGGGTAGGCAACCTTTTGGGGCAATAGATACTTTTGACAATTTGAAAAACTGTCCTGGGTACCTCCATAAAATGGCTGCCATGGGCAGCCTGGCAAAAGATGAATAACCTGCCCTGAGGGGTGTTCCGATCTCCAATACAATAACAAGTTCTTTTGAACCCAACATTTTCAGCAGCACGAGAGAACTATTTCATAGCAATCCCAGTAGTTGGTAAGAAAATGTGTTAATTAAAAATAAGTGAGAAAATTAAGGTACCTTGGCAGGCACCATGCTGCTAACCCTGGCCTAGACTGCGGGCCAAGTTTGTCTATGTCAGTGGGTGCCTTTCAGCAAATAGTAAAAAGCTTGCTTTCCAAACAAGCTGTTAGCTGATTTCATGACTCCCTATGATTGTTTCAGATTTGTAACTGTGAACTGAGGCCTGTGACAAAAAGGTGGGCTATAATTAATTGAATAATTAAATAAATTGGCATGCTCTTGCTCGTTATAGAATGGCTTCCTCAGTCTTCATGGAAAGCTACCATTAATTGTTAGGAACAGAAATACTCTTGAATATTGTTTTCCTTTCCTTGCTTTTCCTTTTAACAGCATTTTTTATTCCTTAAGCACTTTTGGATCATTATGGTTACTGGGTTACTGAACAATATGGATATTGTTAGGTTTTTTATTGTTAAACTGTTGCAAAATGTGAGTACCATTTTAATTTTCAAAGAAGGAAGCCAAAAAGAAGCAGTTGCATCCTTCACTTATTGTCCATCAATTAAAAGTTGTCCAACGTATTACTTAAGATGTAGACCACAGTTCTACGTATTGTGCTCTTCATTGATCAAGGCTCCAAGCACAGAGCCTATTCAGTGCTCTGCTGATGACAGCAGTAGGGTGGGAGAAGGATGAAGGTCTTTGAACCTTTCCATTCCTTTGGTGATATTGGTTACTTCTAGATGGGGCTTTGAACAGACTTACCTTCAAGTGGGTAGAATGGGCTTCAAAGAGGCTTGTGGATCTAGTGGATTCACTCCTCCTGTCCCACCTCTTCATCCATCAGAGTGCCCCCTTTCCCACCTCTTCTGAGATTGCTGTTGTGAGGGTCAGGGCTAGAAGATTCTGCTCCTGAATCCCTTCCCTACCATTGTACTTCTCTCTGTGGTCTCAAAAGTAGGAACCTGAACCATAGGACTACACCATCAGCTGATTAAACAATTAATTTAAGGTACAATCTTTTGTGAGTTTAGGAAGAAAAAGCCCAACTACTGGAAATAATAGGCCCTTTTTCCTGTTGAAACTTGCATAAGGTTGTGCCTTAAGACTGCAGTCCTGTACACATTTATCTGGGGTAAGTCTCAGTGAAATCTTTAAAGACTATCTTCAAGTAAATCTGTATAGTGTTCCCATCACAAACCAGTAAAAATGTGTTAGTAATATTTAAATAAACACTGGCCTCTTTTATTACTCTCCCTTGATATTTTTCTCCCTGTGTTATGGTTCACTCTAGCATGTATTACAGCATGATATGCAATGTAAGATGGACCTCCTTATCCTGAGGGCTTCTGATTGGCTGTTATACAAATCTCAGAATTGGTGTTATGAAGTATTTCATTTTGTTGCTTCATTTCATTCAGTCATTTGATTTGTTCTGCCCTGTTGAACCAACTGAGAAGAATAAAGAGTGAACTCCACTTCAGGGTAAACATTCAATTTGCCCTCTAATCCCACCACTCTGTTATCTTGTTAACTGTAAACACTGGGCACATCTTTAAAAGTCATGCTCCTTTGGACACAGAAGAGCAGTTTGGGGCAAATACAAAATCAAACTGAGTCATGTTCATTTTGTTGCCTGATCTCTGTCTGCCTAGGGTGAATATATGGAATAACACAATACTGGGAAAAAGTTACAGAGAGAGAAAAACACAGAAAGGTAGAAAATTTACCCTCTTCAATCGAATTGCTGGGATAAAACCAACAGGTATGCAATTTATTTAATGAATTCAGCAATGTTTGGACTTTATTGTGCTGATGAAGAGTTCCACACATGCTTTGGTGCATACACAGAGCTCTTAAGCGCATTGCTAACCTCATTCATTTCAGCAGAAGCAGCTGATCTGTGTCCTTAAAGCGATGCATTTGCAAATCTCTTGAAATTATTGGGGAAGATATGGCAGAACTAGAACTTTATGGGATGTCCCATTCAAAGATACCCATTTATGTAGTGGGTTGTTGCTCATTCCCTTCTAAAAGAACCTCCATATGCTCCATAGAATGCTATTCTTGGCATCTCTTAATCTCAGTCCTACTGCCACAAGAAGGAAATAGCTGAAAAGCCCCTAAAAGGATGCCACAGAGATGGAGGGACAAATTTGGCTGTTTCACAAGTTAAACTGAAGTGACTGAAATTGCACAATCTGATCTCATGTGTGAAATGGAAGGCTGTTGTCCTTTCACTTTTGTAGACTTTGTGATGCAGTTCTCCTATGCAAAAAAATGTATGCAAACATACATTCATTTGGGAAAACAGTGCAGAAGGAAAGCCTATCTTTGGGGAAATTGCTTGGATATATTTGTAGAAATGTCTACATACTGATCTTTGCACAGATGAAAATGCATGCACATTTTTGTGTTGACTCTCACTCTCTCTCTCACACACACACATACACACACAAATATACACTGATGAAATAAATTTGTGCTTGGAAACATGTAAATGTTATGGAAATGAAACAATTTTGTCAATCCCTGGTGGGTGGTGAACTACATCAGTTAATTGAATTTCAGACTAAGATTAGATTGGAAGTCCAAGGCAGAGAGTTTCTTTGATGGGACACCTGAGTGAAAAGAATTGCATTCATTTTCCGTAAATGACGGTTTTTGTCTAGTTTGCTTGAAAAGGTTTTAATTAAAATTAAGATTCTTTTCTTCTTTTTCATGCAGAAGATTGTGGGTTTTCTTTGGCCTAACTGATTATAAATTGCCAATGTATCCCTACATACATATCTGTGTTTATCCAGCTCTCTGAATATTTCTTAGCTTCACAAGTGGCACAGTACGATTAGGCATGAAAAATTAGCTTTGCTTCCATTGCAGTTGTGCTGATATGTGAAATTATTTTCTGCATTTGGAATAATCCTCTGGTTTGAAAAGTTGTATTTAGGTCATTAAAGATTGAAGCCCTGAAGGAGACGACAGATATGAATGAGCTTGACATTCTTGTGCACCCTGACAAATACTTTGGGGAAAAGTCAGCAGAGAAGTGTTCTGAAGATTTAAAGCTGCCTACCCTTTCAGCAAGTAAGTAGAGCTTCATTATGTTCTCATTACTCTAGCTCTTGCTACAGAGGGGCAAAAATAAAGGTCAACAGCTTATTTCCTAAAAAGTGGTAAAAGTAACTGCAAACTCTATAATTTAGCACCTGGTGCTGATCAAATGAACACAGCAAGATTGGAAGTCACAAGAATCATAGAATCTAATGTTGTAAATAAGAACTGCCTTGTTAACTTTGTGATGGCCCATGAGCAAGCACTGAAAACTATTTCAGAAACCCTATTTGGGTGTTCAAACATCACAGGTTTACCAAGGGAAGAAAAGTGGGGCCACATTCAAGTTCCTCGTACCCTACATCTTGTCCCTGTTAGCCTTTACATGTTTGGAGTGTTAGGTTTGAATTTTCCAGGGTGCTAAATGACATAGAGCAAATGCTAGACCTCCCTCCTTCCACTTGTGGATAGAAGGGGGCAACCAGCAGGGGTTGGACCTGTGAGTACCTTCACAGGATGGTGAGCACATGGCTAATGAATGCTACTGCAGAGATCAGGTAGCTTTTCTTCAGGTTGGGTCAGAGGAAGAAAATAGAGGGGTGGTGCTCACTCCCTGCTGGAGAGGAAAGGGTCAATTTCTCCTCTCCATAAAATGCCCTGATGTGGGAATCAGGTTTGGGGAAACCTCCCACTGGAGCCCATGGGAGGCTCTCTTGAAGGTGAATTTCTACACAGGGTAGCAATTTTTGTTTTGGTGAGGTGGTGAAGAGACCCGCTTAGGGAGAGAAGGATTATTCCTTTTTTCCACTGTAAAGAAATTGTGTATTTGAGGACTGTTGCCTGAAGGACCACAGGAGGTGGTAGAAGTCCTGCTTTGCTGGTGTGAGACATGCCGCTGGTATAATAGATGTGTCAGGAGGATGGCCTTACCATGTATTCATGGAGCTTTCTTACTCCATGTCATCAAATTGCACTCAGAACTAGATGGGTCCATGAATTACATCTCCACTGGATGCTGCAGAGATGTCAGAAACATCACATCTTCATTAACTAACACACCACAGTGGGGCTCTTTGCAAATAATCAGCCACAGTTGCTCATCTGTTAGCACTACATAGGTACAAAGTATCTTGCTTTGTGCAAGTAGGAGTAGAAGTCTTAGATAACTGTTTGGAGTCGTTAATGGATTGGATAAGGCCTAATGCTTCTGACTTATCACATCTGTGATGTGACATTTGATGTTTTTTTGGATGGGTTTGGACTCTTCTTTAAAGAGACTTATGATTTAGGGATGCTTTTAAACCTACACTTTGATGTAAGATAGAATTTGTAGCCTGCAGTGCCTTTCACCAACTTTGGCTGGTGGTACCCGCAGCATCCTTTATCGGAGATGGCACCATTCATGTCTGAAGTACGACATGCTGGGGCTGTATCTGGAGAGCAATCAAAACTTCAGCTGTGGTCAGATTTATTTTCCCACCTTTTTTACTGGTACAGATCAGTGCAAATAACATATTTTATAAAAAAAATGCTATGGCCAGCTCTCAGTTTGTTTCCAAGTGCTGATTTTGATCTTGCAGGTCCTCACTGGCCATCATTTGGATTATCTAAAGGACTTGGTTCTCTTACATGTATTGGCCCACCAGCTATGATTTCTTCTGAAGGCAAAGTTCCCTTGTCTAGAGTGGCCCTGCAAAGGCTGGGTACCTGTGAACATAAGACTAAAGAAAAAGCCCTGCTGGATCAGACCAAAGCCCTATCTAGATGAGCATCCATTTTCCCATGATAACCAACCAAACACCTATGGAAAGTCACCAAACAATACATGAGACACACATTTCTGTGGTGAGACCCAGACAGGGTGCTGCTATGTTGGAAGATATCTGGCTTAGCACTAGTTCACTTGAAAAGGATCTTGGAGGTATAGAAAATCATAAGTTGAGCTTGATTTAGCAGTGGAATGCCGTTGTAAAAAAAAGGCTAATATGATTTTAGCATGCATTAGCAAAACCTTGGCTTCCCTGTCATAACAAGTAATTGCTCCATTTTATTCTATAGTTATCAGACCACCATGCTTTAAGAAGGGTGTAGGCAAGTTGTAATCAGTTGAGATGGGGCAACAAAGATGGGCAGGGGTATGGAAATCCAGTACTCTGAGGAAAGTTGAAGGAACTGGGTATGCTTAGCCTGGAGGAGAGAAGCCTGAGCAGGGGAGATGATACCACTCTTGACCATCACATGGAAGAGGGCAAACAGTTGTTCTCTGTTGCTCCAGAGAGGAAGGTTAGATGTAACAGACTTGTTACAGGAGGGTGAGTTTCAGCTGAATATGAAGAAACATCTTTGCACAACAAAAGCTTTTTGGCAATGGAACTACCTCCGTGAGGTGTGAGGCGCTGTCCCTCCTTGGAGGTCTTTAAGGAGCTTTGACAGGATCTTTGAGGTCTATATTCTCAGCATCAGGTATGAGATTGAACTGGATTTCTGGCTCTGAAGGCTTTCATGTTCTCTTATACTTTTAATGGTATTTGAAATCCTTGCCATTCTTTTTGCTACTCTTTCGTGGCCTGCCCTTTACAGCTGCTTGACACTGTATTGTTTTCGCTCTCTTTGAGGCTGCTTGATCAAAAGAGGGGCAGAATTCTATGAAAAAACCATAGCATGCTGCTGCCTTTGTGAGTGGGATAGCCCAGCCCCTCACTGCATTCACGTGGCAGGACTAGTGGAGGATCCCAGGGCTTACGTTCTCTGCCTGTATTGTATAAACCGGTGCTTTGGATCTAGACTGTGGTTAAAGGCGCACCACTATATCTGTCACTGTAACCTTTTCTTCTTTGGAACTGTCGCTCTACTGCTTCAAACAAATTTGTGTTGAAGCATCTTTATGCCAGGGGAAAATTTCCACTGGGGATCCAAATAGCATGACAGCTGATGGTGCTTATGCAGGTTGTGGAAGCCATGCATGTTGTGAGTACATCATCAGTGATCCATCGACCATGTGGAATGGACTCACCGTTTTGGAAGCGGTGATTTCTGACATAAGATTAGGGGCAAGTTCCATCCACAAAGAGTTGTTTTACTGATCAAGGGCAGTCCTCTTCTTTTCAAAGACTTTGTTTGAAAGACTGTCTGGTGCAGGTCAGTGTAAAGAGCAATAAGAAGGGGGGACTTGAAGTGACCCCTTAACTGTGAGCACCCAGGCAGCAGGCCGAGCAGCATACTGGGGCAGCCATTCCTGCACTTGTGCTATCTCTTGGATTTCTATGTGAAGTACACTGATATTTCATTAAGTATTAAATATATAAAATATTTACTAAATACATAGAAATTAGCAGATTTTATAGACATTGGTGCCCTGTTTTGCTTTGTTTTTCGTAATGAATTTCTACGAATTTCAGCAATGTATATGCGAAGATCCTACGATATGAGCAACCTGTGAGCAACCTGTATCACCGGTGGTGAACAAGCACATGAAGCTGGTGGTGCCTGGCAGCCGCAGCACTCTAGGTCCTTCTAGCCTGTGACCAGAGCCACAACTGCATGGCCTTTGGTTGCTGGAACCACTGTACATGAAGTTGCGGGTCTATGCCTAGCTTCCCAAATAGCAGGGCTTTTTTTTTTTTAATGGGGGGATTAGATAAGGATAATGCTGCATGAGAGAAAATCCTGGCCCACTTTCCTGATCCAATGTATCATTTGACCTAGACATGCCTTTAAGCTTTAGGAGGAGGAGGTAGAGGAGAGAAGCAGCAGCAGCAGAAGAACCTACGGGAGATGCAAGACCCCTGCAGGGGGGGGGGGTTACTAGGGAAAGTTGAAGGCAGAAGAAAAGGATGACCAAATATGAGATGGATTGACTCCATAAAGGAACCCACAGTCTTGAATTTGGAACAGCTAAGCAGGGATGTCTTAGGGCATTTTGGAGGGCTTTCACTCTTGCGTTGCTGTAAGTTGGAGACAACTTGACATCACATAACAACAGCTTGGGAGATGCAGTTTGGAGTGCTAGTGTCAAAGAACTCCCACCATCTCGTCTAGTTTTGTCCTTAGTTTTGTCCTCAGTTAGCAAACAATGCTTGTCCTGTTGTATGGCCTGTACTTGGATATCAAACCAGAGAACCAGGAGATGCTAACAACAAGTAAAATGATATTATGGCTTTCCCATCGGATTTTTTTGTGAATGGAGCTGTGCTTGGCCAGGATCTTATATTCTGTCCATAGCCTGCGATGCTCCAGTGATGAGGTTCTATGGGGTCTAAATGTTAAAGGATCTTCTTTGAGCTTATCAAAGGGCTGAAAATGCCTGAAGGAAATGTGCCCTTCTCTCCAAAAGCTCCTGCTAGCTAGTTCTGTTGTAATCACAGGAATCTTTGTTAGAAAAGAACAAGAATGATATCTGGATACAAAGGGTGCTTCTAGATAGAAAATCACTAATGGTACCAATTAGAATGCTTTATGCAGGTATTACATCTCTTTCTCTTTAATGGATTTTACATACTAAGAAAAAAATGTAGTGGAAAAACCCAGGAGGGTTACACGAGATTACAGCCTCCTCTGGATACAGAGAGAGACAGAGAACTGATTTTGGGTTCTGTTAAGCTAATAACATTTTGGAAGGTTGCCTGCTCTCTCCAGAAGTCTGGTATGAACAATGGACTTTGGCTGTCCATTGGAGCATTAAATGTGCACCTCCACCTGTGCTCACAATGTATTTTTGTATATAAACTCAAACATTGCACAACGTCTCAAGCCTCTCTTTCTGAAGGAAACCAAGTCTGGTTAAGTTTTGCAGCTGTGTAAATCCTCATTCCCCAGAGAAGAAGGTAACAATAATTTGAAATATCAACACTACTGGGCTCCTGGGCAGGATTAGACCTTCTTTCTTTTTTTCCACATATCCAGCTCAGAATGGTTTGCCCATATGACTGTGGTATCTTTGCCTACTGAGATCCCGCACAGACCGTCAGTGTAAGTGGAGCTGGCATAGCAGAAATACTATGTTCATATCTCAGCATCAGCACTTTCTGACTCGATGCAGGAAAAAGCATCTTCAAGCTAGATAACAAGCAACTGAGAATTAGATCGAAAGCCCCCTGGGAAACACAAAGGGAATTAAATGGGGGCTTATGCTGATGATTCAGCACTGTCCTATGGCAGCCCCTACATGGTTCCTACAAGCAATTTAAAAAATTAAAATATAATCCTTTTGGAAGTTGGATCAATTCCCAAAGAACTTTCTTGACTAGCCAGGTGTATGATCTCAGGTGGCAAAATGCTGATTTTCCTTGTTGTCATTAATCTTTCCAGACTGCTGGATTTCTCCCTTCCCCCCTTAGGAGCTTTAGATTTAAAATGTTATTATTAAATTTATATGAAGTGCTTCAGAATTTTCTCATTAATCCTCCTGAATTTTGGATGTTGGAGAAGAGGTAAAACCAGGTGTGCTTCCAAGTTAACTCCTTCCATTTGTATCCATTAAAAGCTTCAGTAGGATCTTATTTCTGCTTGTCGGATGTGATCATGGTTCTGCACAGTGATCAAATTAGTTCTAACTGAAGCAACTTGCCTTGCATGTCAGAGTGTGATGTACTTTCCATCTTTCCACTCTCCTTTCCAAATGGAAGGGTACTCATAATATACAAGTGGGAAAGGCAGCTGCTTTGCTACTTCACAAGATCGGTTCCCAATTTTGTAGAGGATGAGTGTTTCCAAGGCTACTGTGGGTCCTACTTAGAGAGAGACATCCCTGTGCCTATAGGTGACTCAGTTAGAAGGGGGAAGATTTAGGAGATGGGCGGCAGGGGTCAGGAGCATTATTTGCACATTTACAGTGCAATACTAAGCATGTTTAGATTGGAAAATAAAGATTCCTGTAGCTCCCAGTGCTTCCCAGCTCCTGTGTTGATTTTAATTTTACTTTTGGGAAATTTGACCAAGGAAGTTTTCTGTTGCGGCTCACGTCAGCGGCACTACTGTGTGCGGCCAAAGCAGTGCCATCCACACGCAGGTGCGAGGCATCTGCTGGTTTGGGGGAGTCCCTTAATTTGAAGTCTTGGAAAACCCCCTTCCCATAAGGCTCCCTCCCCCAGTAGGATGGTGCTGGCAAATGTTCAGTGTTTAAGGTGTGTGTGGAAAACAGAGCGGAAGGGTGTGCTGGAGAGGCGCCCTTGCACTTTAGCTCCTTCTCTTTCGTGATGTTGATAGAGATGTGCACACATGTGGGATAGGAAGTTCTGAAGGAGTGCACCAAACATCGAATGCGTGGGCAGGTGGCTTCAACACTGGCTTGTCTAATGCCTTTTGCTCCTCTAGGAGTGACTGGCGAACATTCATTTCAAGGGGTAGGAATACATGGTGCTCTTGTAGATGCCGTTGGGGTGGGTGCTGAACCACTCCCCTGGGGTTGATGGTTGCTGACATTAAGAATCAAACCTGGCACTTTTGCCGCATGATTCCATCTTTTTCTTGGCCACAGCTTAGCAGAGCAGGACCAAATGCCAGCAAGTGGGCTCCTTTATACATATGCTTCTCTCTCTCTCCCTCCCTCCCTCCCTCCCTCTCTCTCTCTCTCTCTCTCTCTCTCTCTCTCTCTCTCTCTCTCTCTCTCTCTCTGCATGTGTGCATGCTATCATGGTGTGGTTAGGTCTAATTGCTGGGAGGTCTGAATTTTAGTCACCCCACTAACTGGGTGACATTGGGCCAGTCACTGGCTCTCAGTTCAACCTTCCTCACAGGGTTGTTGTTGTGAGGATAAAGGGGAGAGGAGGCTTATGCCATCCACTTTAGGTTTCTTGCAGAAAAAAGGGTATTAGTATAAGAGATGGACATATAGAAATATCTAATCTACAAAAAGCTAGACAAAAGATTTACCAGTAAATAGACTTTGTTCTGAATTGTGTCTCTCCTTTTTCTAACTTTCGTATTCATCATGGTCCTTTAAAGAAAGAGACAAGTATGGCCAGCTGTAATGAGAATCATGTTTTGTTTTTTGTTTTGTTCTGTAGGCCTGAAAGCTGCATTTGATGAAAAGAACTTATTTCCCAAAGAAATTCTGGACCGTGAAAAAAAAGCAAGGCAGTTGTGTGAGGAAATATGTCCCAAAGGGAGGATAACAAATGAAAGAAACCAAGGGAAGTTGAAAGGAAAGTGAATTGGAATTGGCTTCAAAAGGAAGGTAGGAACAATGGGTACTACCCAGTATTACGATGAGACAGATTTTGGTCCAGAGACCCCATGAGAAAGATGCAGGGGAGCTGGAAAAAGCATTCAGAAGAATGTTGCTGATAAAGGGGCTAAGAAATTGTAGGAGGAATGGCTAAAAGCAAATGAGGAGGTTCAGTTTTCCTAGATAAAAGACAGAAAAGGCCACAGCCTACTCGGAAGTTCTCTGCTTCAACCCTTACGAAATTAATGAGGGCTGTACAAAGAGACAAAGAAGGCTCCTTCAGTGCAATGGGTCTTGTAGAGAAAGAAGGGCAGGGGGAAGTTTCAGTTATTCAGCTATCAGGAATAAGAGAAATAACCTCACTTTTTCCAGGAGAGAGCAAGCAGCAATGGCTTTAAAATGCAAGGAAGTCAACGGAGTGTGCATACTGACCTTTCTGTATGGATTTTTGGGGAAATTGGGTGCAAATGGGAAATATTTAGCATCTCCTTCCTGGATCACTTGTAGTCCCGTTCTGAATCAGGGCCATGCATTATACACCAGCTAAGGTCAGGCAAACAAGCAATGTTTGAAAGTGTTAAAGGTAAGATCAAGGTTTCCCCTTGATGTTAAGTCCAGTAATGCCTGACTCTAGAGGGTGTTGCTCATTTCCGTTTCCTAGCTGAGGGAGCCAGCGTTTGTCCGCAGACAGTCTCCGTGGTCATGCGGCCAGCATGACTAAACACCGAAGTGCACGGAATGCTGTTACCTTCCCACCAAAGTGGTACCTTTTTATCTACTTGCCTTTGCATGCTTTTGAACTGCAAGGTTGGCAGGAGCTGGGACGGAGCAACAGGGACTCACCCCATTGTGCAGATGCGAACCAGTGACCTTTCGATCAACCAACCCAGCAGCACAGTGGTTTAAACCACTGCACCACCTGCATCCCTTGAAAGTTTTAGGGTTCTCCAAATATCACTTTCTTGCTGCAGTTTGGAAGATGTGTACAAAGAAAGCTGCAACTGAATGGGAGAGCTACAAAAATCCCTGAAATTTGTGCAGATCTCCCCAAATATATGCAACCTTCCTTCAGAGAGTAACGTGCTGAAATTTGGTCTACAGAAGGAATTTGAGTAAATTAGGGAATTTACACAAATCAAATTGTTATTTGGAACTAAATGAACATGAGCACATGGCTGACCATTTGTGGCAATTTTTGACTAACACTCCCATGTTCATGTTCTAGGCTTCCGATGGGGCATGCTCACATGTTTTGTGAGCAAAGATGAAATCCACATGCATCCCTATGTATAGCTAAATGATGTGAGAGTACCAGAAGGTTTTGTTCGGGCCCGACTTGGTCTAAGCTTCCCATGTTCCTAACACTTTCAGTACCACACTATTAAATACGTCTTCTCAGTATTTGAGTCTTCCTTTAAGCAAGTTGTGTGCAAGTGCAAACATTGTTAATGCAAGATTCTTCCCCTTCTTTTTTATTTTTTTAAGCACATTCTGGCATTGCAGATTTTATGTTTGCATTGCAGATCATGGGAAAGGCAAACATTCATTTCAACCTCAGCTGAGAAAATGCCCTTTGAGATCCCCAGCAGTGGAAAAAGAAGTTAATATTTATTTGTTACATTTTGATTATGCCTTTTTATAGAAAGACTGTTCAAGGTGGTATAGCAGGTGATTTCAGCCTAAGTGTTCTGCAACTAAAGCTGCTTCCCGAAGAGCCCCCAAATAAGAATCACATGGAGAAACCAGAAGGAAATGCCTTTTTATGTGTGTTGGTCCTTTATTGGAATGTAACTGCATGAAAAGGGACAATTAAAGTCCCTTATGGATTTGAAAAGGGACACTGTATTTTCATACCCCATAAGAAACTTGTTCTTGAACTAAAGACTGGTGACAATCCTATATAAATCCATATGCTGGGGTAAAATTATCCTAAAATCAGAGATGGTATAAAAGCAGTCAAAGAAAGCATTGGGGTTGGGGACTGGATAGACCGGCAATATTCAGAGCTATTTTAGAACAAGCGGGCAGTGAGGCAGAGTGAGGGTGGTGAACTTTGGAATGAAGGGTCTCATATTCAGAATAAACATCTCTCATTTTGGAACTTTATACCCCATTACAAGTGGGAACCAAACCTGTTAGGGTGCCATGTGTCCTGTTTTACAGAGCATAGTCCTTTATTTGAATGGCTGCCAGGGGACTGTCCTCTGTTTGGAAGGCATCCTCTGTTCGAAGGGCTGTTCAGTCTAAATTTAAAGTTAAAGAACCATCAGAAGGAAAACCTTCAACAGCACCTGCACAGTGGACAGGCAAATGCTTCACCTTATTGCAGCCTTCCACATAGCACTTTATTTCTTTTTAAATTGTAATGGTAATTTTCTAATTGTGTATCTATATCTACAAATCAGCATATGAAAATTCTGTGCAAATCAATGCCCTCTTTTAGTTTCCTTTTTTTGTCAGGCTACATTGGATTTGTGATCTTTTACATTTTCTGGCCCAAGACATGGAATTAGAAGGCAAAGAGAATCCAGGCCAAGTTAAGGACAGGTCTTCAAAGTCTCCCCTGTATCCACTGAGTGATCCCCACGACTTGCCTTCCCTTGTTACAAGGGTGTTTGCTTAGAATGGAGAGGGCAGAGACAGCAGGTTTGGTCTCTCTCATATATGGATTCCATTTTAAAAATTAAAAATATCAATCAGTTAACTACCCAGGGACTGTAAGTTAATTATATTACTTCATCAATTGAAGGAAACAAAAGGATTCTTCTAATGCTTCACATTATGCTTCCTCATTGAGATGTATTAAGTGTACACCTAAAATCGTTCTGTGAATACAAAAGGATGTTTGAACATCTATATGCCATACAACTCTCCTTGCCAGGGAGACCAGGATCATCAGCAGCCCCCTTTCTGAGAATATATTTGATAGCAAATCCATATTTGTTGCTGTGTAATGTGTGAAATGGCTCTGGGGGTTGAAAAGATTGTGCTTGAAATCCTCCTCTCCTTTGTAAACTCCTTAGCATATGATGCAGGTTAATATTTAATTCATCCCACTTTTAAGTTACTCAGCTTGGGGATTGTAAGAAAGTGTTTTACCACCTGCATACTTTGAACTTGAATTGTACTATGAAGCAAAGTATTCCCCCATCCTCAACAGCAAACAACTGCATTAAGAGAAAATTAAAAAACAACCACCACTGACTGTGATTTTCCCATACCCTTGAGAAAGCCCTGGGAGTTGGGTTCATTTTCCGACTGACAACAACACAGAGACAAATTCTGCGCAGACATTTGCCTTGCTATGTTTTTCAGGACTCCTGAGCTACTTTACACAAGTAATCACAATGCATTTAGAGCTAATCAGATGTGAATTGCTGCCTTTAATTTTTTTAGCTGTCACTTAAATCCCCATTTTTTCCTTTCCCAATGAGCTGTAAAACATTTCTTATTGTGTAAAATACCCAGAGATTATGAGAAAGTTACATGCACTCTCATCAATAGATGAACTATGATATATTCATTTAATTTATGTTCTTTTCCTAAGGCTGAGTCTGCAGGCCAGTGACTCTAGAACATCTGTGGAACTCAATAAAAGCCCAGGGCTTTTGGAAATGGACAGGCAACACACACATTCCCAGAGAGCCAGTGCAGTGTAGTGGTTAAGAGTGTGAGACTGGGACTCAGAAAACCCGGGTTCTCGTCTCCACTTGGCCTTGAAGCCAACTGGGTGACTTTGAGGTAGACAGAGTAGACTGCATCACAGGGCTGTTGTTCTGGGGATAAGATTGAGAGCAGCATGAGAAGAAGAATGTAAGTTGCTTTGAGTTCTTAAAAAAAGTGGGATATAAATGTGATGAATGAATGAATGAATGAATGAATGAATGACAGATTCTTGTACCTTTAAAAGCATCTTGACCTTTAGAAACCAACAAGTGAAGCTTTTCTTTTCATGGGGATAATAATGATCACTTGTTTGAAATCTACCTGCTGTTAAAAACCTAGTGAAGGTTCAGAAGGTGGCCACCCTTTTGAGGGACATGAAAGTATCCATGCGGTAAACTCACCCAAGATGGGCTGAGAGGTAGCGTTGCATGCAGAAGGTCCCAAATTCACTCTTTGGCAACTGGGCTGGGAAGAACATTAGCCCAAACCCCTAGGAAGCTGCTGCCCATCACTGTGGATCGTACTGGGCTAGATGGATGGATGATCTTGCTCTGTATCAGTCAGTTTCATATTATTCCACCTTAAGAAGAGGGCAGGAAGAACTCATGTGACATTCACTTCTTAGACAGGACACCTTATTTTAGGTTATGTCTGAGGATCACAAAATCAGTGGGCTCTGCCTTAATTGTGAGTGTGGGTACAGAGACAGGACTCTGCAGTTGTTTAGTGGCCCAGGAAAGGCATTCAGAGCCTTTGCTACAGGAATCTCCCCTTTGCATTCTAGGACTCAGCTGCCTTAGATAAATTCAGAGCTGAGATTTAAGAGCAGATTGAATGATATATTTCCCCATAGGGAGGAATTGCTGCTTTCTATAATTCAAAAATGAAAGAGCCATTGTTGCAGAAAACTACCCAACTCACTCGCGTGCTCTCTATCTCCCTAGTTTTTAACTTACAATGCAATCCTACTGCCCCTCCACAGAATCTAGAGGGCCAAAGGATATTTTGGAGTCCCAGCCCTGATTGTAGACAGCTGTTCCACAGCTGGACTCCACACTCTGAGCACCACCTGCCCTGCACAGCTAGTGCTGAAAGAACTGAGTGGGCTGCTTCCACAAAGCAGCAAAAATGATCTTGGAGAAGGGAAGAGGCTGGGAAGGGAGGACAGTGGCTGCCCAAGGTATGGGTTCTCCTGGTGGCTCTGTAGCCTATGTCCCTTCTGCTCTGAAGCACAGCAGTTGGACAACTGAAATTGGCTGTCTGGCTGCTTTGCATAACAAGTGGAACATGGAGGGGGAACTCCTCTGAGTCTGCACTGGATACCTGCAGTCTTCTGAGTTTGGACTGTTATGGGCAACCCCATAGGACTGTGCCCTTGTGCGGTTGTTTTGTTGCTGTTATTGTTGTTGCTATATTTCACATTGCATTTTTTAAAATAGAACAACATCCCTGTAAGAAGGTAATATAAATATTATAGGAATAAATCTGAATCTGGCTGTAAAGCCCATGACCTGCATTCTGTTTTAGGTTCTACTAGTTCCAAAATTAGGGACCACTACCTTGTTTCTAAGTAGGCAAGTTCTGAAGAATGTGCTCCCCCTTTCCTTTAAGGATGCAAAGCTATGCATGTTTAGACAGACAATAACCCTATAGCTTCCCCCAGCACAATGGCAGCAGCAGGACATTTTTTTTGGCCCAGGAAAGCATCCCAGGGTCCAAAGGAATGTTTGGAAACCCCCTTGGAAGACAGAGACAAGCCTCCACCCTTAGAAGGGGAAACTGGAGATCTGATGCTCCAGCCTGCTGCCTCATAGCCAGTGCAGACAGACCTGTGCCAGCTGCCCTCTGAGGTCAGAAAAGCGATCTTGAAGGAGGAGTAAAGGTGGGAGAGATGGAAGGAGGCAGGCAAGACGTGAGACACCCAGAGCCTGTTCCAGCCTCCAACCCTCACTTCCCTCTTGCACACTCCCTGGGTGTGCTGTACTATCTTCAAAATTACTTTGTTGCATCCTATAAATAATGCATTGTACATAGTCTCTTCTCCAGTCCATTGATATTACATCTTGTTATGTTCCAATATATTACATTGTGGTTTTATTTTTTTATATAAAATCCTTGCTTCTGTTTCACAAATGGATGGAAATTGCTGAGCCAGATTTCGTTCTCCTCCTTGCCACCCCAATTTTTTGAAGTCAACAAAAGAATGGCGCATAAATGAATTCTGCCATGGGATATGTGTGTGTGTAAAACCATTATTATTCTTTCATTTTTGTACCAAATGCATCCCAATGAATTCATATAACTGTAGTCCACCTGCTGCATGTTAATCTCAGTCCACATTTGCTTTAAACAAAATCCATACCAGACCCTAGCCAGCCTTCCTTGCTAGTGGATTGCCCCATTTCTATGTGATGCTTCAAGGAAATGAACAGAAAAGCAGCAATTTCCTTATAACCAAGAGAAGCTTCTAGAACCCTGTCAATCGTCTCACTAAGACACCAGAGGAAATGACAGCAGGAAAAGCTCATGAGCCCAAGACTCACTGCTGCTCTTTCCATCACTTGTTTAATCAAAAAATGTATAGGTTGAATAAGAACAGGTTTTTTTTAAAAGTTCAGATGACATTACCAAATAATGAGCATCTTCCTTAAAAGCAGCTGCTTTGAGGGTGCAGTCCTATGTTGGGATAAAAAGGTCCTATGGCTATGGCTGGCTGGGAGTTATAGGAACGTTTCTGTCTTAAGATCCTAGGACTGCTGTGAATGTGTGTCCCTCCCTTGCTCACTTCTCATATAGTCATCAATCCAGTATGGAAAACCAGCCTGGTGTAGTGCATAGAGCCTTGGATTGGGTCTCAGGAGATCTGGGTTCTAGTTCCCACTAGCTCATGAAACTCACTGGGTAACTTTGGACCAGTCAGATTCTCAGCCCAACCTACTCCACAGGAGTGATGTGAGGAGAAAATAGAGAGGAGTAGGGTTGGGTTCCTTGCAAGAGTTTAAAAGGAGGGATGTAAATGTAATGAACCAACTAACCTGGTTTGCGTTGAGCCAGAGTCCCTCAATATATCCAAACTAGGGTTGGGACAAAACTCCTGCTGTAGGTGGTGAGGAAGAGGGAGGCTGCTCACACAGTGGTCTATCCCTGATGAGCCCCGTGCGAACAACCCTCATCCACCTCAGGTGCAGTGATGCTGCTACAGGTGGTGCAGAAGAGGTATGGTGCTTCCAGCAGTCACAGAGGGCTCACCAGAAAGGGTGCTCCATGTGAACACTGGGTACACTTGCCAGGAATTCAGGGCTGTGACAAAGTGGATCGGAGACCAGGGGGCTGAGCCTGGGCAATCTGTTGGATTCCCAGACCCAGTGCAGACTCCTCCACATCCCTAATCCAAATCAGGTATCTTCAGTTTAATGCTGGTCAACAAACCAAGATAATGAGCTTGGATCAGATCAGCTTATTATACTGGTGTGTTAAAAGAAATTAAGCCACAGGTTCCTGGTTCATATGCAGCAGAAATCTGGCTCAATGCAAGCCAGGAACTTCACACTGAAGTCTGCATTTTAGCAGAGAGGACAGGGAAGGGCATGCGACATGGTCTGAATTGCAGTGGATGAATGTCCAGGTGTTCTCATAGTATCTGGAGAAGAAACTCTTTTTTACTTAAGAGTGATGGTGCTCTTGAAAAATCCACCCTGCAAAAGGAAAGATCTTTGGGGGAGTGTCCAGTGGGTGGAGTTAAGAGCCTGGCTTGATTCTTCTTTAATATGTGTGAATGGCCTTTCAGATCCAACATTTAAAGGCAGTATTTTATTATCCATCCCCCTTTTGGACTGCTATTAGCCTACCTGAGATGGTAAAGGTGCAACCCTACGGATTCCCAGCATCATTGGCGGGGAGGGGCATCGGGTTATTAATCAGAGCTGGGACTCCAAAGCCCAAGACCCTACCCAAACCGCTAAAAAGGACTGCATTGGCTGTCCCTGGAAGTCACAACCAGGCCTTTGGTAATATGGAAAGAGTGAGTGCATGGGATGGGGAACTCAGGAAGTTGGGGCTGATGGCTTATGCCATTTCTGATTGGTATCCCCTATGTTCTTCCCTCCCTTTCTACAATGCTTCATCTTGACATGCACTGAAGGTACATAAACCTGAGTTTGGAGGCTTCTGTGCATCACAAGAAGCAGGAATTTGATTTCATCTTAATTTGCTTATTTATTGGTTGCATTTATATCCTGCCTATTTTACTGTGAGGAATGCAAGCTGGCTTACATTATTTTCCTCTTCCTATTCATTCTTTTCATCACAACAGCTTTGGAGGTCGGTGAACATAAGAATTTTGACTGGCCCAAAGCCATCTAGTGAATGTCATTATACCACAATGACTTTTTTATTTATTACATTTATATTCTACTTTTAATCCAAGGATTTCAAAACTTGATTATTGTTTGGTAATTTTAACTGACTGCTTTGACTTTTAATTTTTGATATTGGCATTCCTTTGCTTTATTGGTGTTTTATCGTTTAATGGCCACTTTTTGGGTGAAATAGCATAGAAAATGTTGAAATGGAAGCAAAACAAGGAATCTTCCTTTTGTCCAAATTTCTTCTTATCGTTGACTCATTTTTTCCAGAGTGCGTTTGCATAGCATTGATGGAAACTGAGAACAATGGTTTTAGGAACAAGTTTTAAAGGCAGGGGGCCACAGGAAGCTTTAAAATCTGGTTTCAGAAGCATTGGCAAGCTCAGTTGTGTTTTACAACCAGAATATGAATTGATTCCTTTCCTTACATTCATTATGGATTAGAGGATCTATTTCTGAAATGCAGAAATGACGCTGAACATTTGATCCACCAGCAGGTCTCGAAGATGGATGCCGATACTGCAGGTGCAAATGCTTGAGTATGTCTGCCCGATATGTCATTGTGACTTATTTGTGTGCTTGAGAAAAAGCACACAAGAATCAGAACTTACTTAATGTTTTGTGTCCTAATGAAAATTCATTAAAGATGTTTATGCCTTTCTTCTGCCGTGTAATAAATATTTCACCATTCCGAAAACAATGACCCAGAACTGTGCAGCTGAATGCACAAGGACGCACACCGAGCTGGAATTGTGGCCTGGAATTCTGCATACTGCTGCCAGGCCAGGGGCTTCCTGACACAGTTCCACTGTACTCCTGAACGTAGTGCATTGGGTGTGAGTGTCCTGGAGCAGCTCATAAGAGAATTGACCGCCATGTCCTTTGAAGGTCAGGAACGGATTTTATTTATTTATTTAGAAAATTTCTATGCCGCCCCATTCGCCGAAGCCTCGAATGGATAGCCCGGGAGAGGGAGCAAAGCACACACCTAGACACACCTGGGGTCCCCAACATGGTATCTCAGTGACACTCAAAAAATCTTCATGACCCTTAAAAAAATTAAAAGGAACATATTTATGTTTCGTATTTCTGTGCTGCCCAACAGCTGAAGGTCTCGGGTGGTTTGCAATATTAGAATGCAAGGTTCTCTTTTCTGTTCCTGAACTTGCTGCTGATGAGCTGTTCATCAGAAAGCAGAGAGTAAGCAAGGCATGAGGTAGAGGAGAGAGAGAAAGCAAATCTAGGGGCCAGGAGGGGCAGAAACTGAAGTACTGGAGACTGGCAAATAAGGGGGTAACTTGGAAAGTAGGAGCCTGGCTAAGGGCCAAGAAGGGAGAAAAGAGGTGTACAGATGGAGAAGGGAGAGAAATACTGAGGAAAGCAAAGCTGGGGAAAGAAAGAAATTGGTTAGAGGGTGGGAGTGGGGAGAGAAAAAGGGAGAGAGAGTGCTAAGTGGAAAGTGTGCGGGCAAAGGAAGATTAGGTGGCCCAGGAAGCAATGCTTTCCATTCCTCCAGCACTGTCACCCTCTAGTCTTGCCATTCTTCTCTCTTCCCTTCATTAGCCAGGCTCCTCTGGCAGCCATGATGTGACCAGCCGCATTCCTCATGGGAACCATATTCTTCTCCAATCCTAAAATGTTTGCTCTTGAGTCAGAAACATTTGAGGACCCGTGGTCTGTGCAAGTCCCGCCTTTCCATGTTCAGCCCAAGTGCCAATTACATGCAACTAATTTCAAACAATTGTTTCTGCTGGTTTTCAGATACCCAATTAAAGTTGGTCCAAATTTAATATCCACCAGCAATTTTCAAAAACCTTATCCTCAAGCAACCATTTTTGTCCCTTTCTGTACACCAAGGAACCCTTGAGCACCTCCTGTGGGATTCTGAGGTCATTCAGCTCTAAAGTACATTCTAACGGCTTACTTATTGCTTTAAAATATTTATACTAAGTCTTTTGGCCTCTGTAAGGAGCTTTCTCCCCAAGGTGACTAACCACATACATTAAAAAAGCCAATATCTAGAGTACAGAGTCTAACCATAAATAAAAGCATACATCAAATGAGCAAAGAAGGGCAAAATATTGACTTTGACTAAAGGCTTGGCATACCAATAAAACATAACTGTAACTTAGAGTGTAGCCAAGAGGAACACACAGGAACGAAGCTAACGTGCCCCATGTGGCTGTACTTCGAGGGGATTTTTTTTTAAGAAACAATGAGATTAATTTTTGAAATGTTGGTTATCCATTTCCCCCATGCCCTCAATCCTATAACATTCATTCAATCAAATCATCTCAAAATGCAGACATACATCAGGCATTATTAAATTAGCTCTGCAGAATTTAATAAAAAGTAACTAATTCACCCAAGAATCATTGAATTTTTACCTGTTTACTTTCCTCCATAGATATAAAATAAGGTTAGCCGTTGCTGCCAATTTCTGTAGCTTTTCCATCCATTCTTTTAAATCTGCAACTTTAGGCAGCCTCCAATATTGCACATGAACTACCTTAGCAGCAGCTACATAATCAGTCCATTCATAAAGGTCTTTATATATATAGTCTTTTATATAAGCCAACAGTAAAAGGAATAAATTCATTTTATGGTGCAGCCTAATATTTTTTGTATACATTCCAGGTTTTTTTTTGTAAGGGGTGGAGGTTTCATATGGACATTCTTACCACATATGATAAAAGTTGACTTTTGAATCATTTCCTTTGTAATGTGTGATCATTCTTATTGATCTTTCTTATTATCAGGACAACTATAATCTTGCCTCATTTTCAAATAATTTGCTGGAATAGTCATACAAAAAGAAAAAAATGCTTTCATCTATAAATGTTCCCAAACTGCATTATATTGTTTCCTCCACCCTTCCAGTTCTTATATTGACAAGATTGGAAATGCCTTTACAAGAGCAGAAATTCAAATGTAGATTTCCAATGTAGTTTAACAAGTATAAGCTCCCACATTTCAAGACAGCTTCTCAGCCAATACTTTGAATATCTTGTTGAAGAATCATAGCTAAGCTTATGAAGAACTTCATATTCCCACACCTGTATTTAGGGTGGCCATCATCACCCAAAAGAAGAGGAAATGCATCACCAAAAAGAGGACACACAGGTGTTCCACAGGTGTTCAGTTCCAAGAACTCAGAGATAAGGGCAGACCTTCCCTGCCTTTTGTGACTCCTTTATCTACTGTTTGTGGAGGTGGCTTCTAAAAGCTTTGCGTCATAATTTGGCTAATGCTGCAGGGAACCAGGTGGGCCCAATACCAGCCCAGACCATGCTTGGGCCAATGCTAGGAGCACCAGTGAAACATCCTGAGTGGGCCTGTTATTGGCAGGAGCACTTGGCTTTAATGATTAAAGCAGCTGTTTTCATTTCTACACGTGGTCACCTTGCCCTGTGGTGGAATTTAACTACTGGGGAAGCCCAGTGGCATAGACCTGCCAGTGCCACCAGTAGATTGCCTCCTGCCACTGCCAGCTGTCTGGTAAATCCAGCATCAATTCAGGGAAGGCTTGATGGCATCACATGGGAATGTCCATTCAAGGCGCTTTGCTCAGGGCTCCCTGAAATATGATATTAGTGGTCAAGTTAGGCTAGATCCGCACTACATGAAAGCCCCTTACCTTCACCCGATGCCTGTAGAAGCCAATGTTTTCAACAAAAAAAATTGATTCCCTCACTACACACTGGTTCTGTCAAAATTATCTGGGTTTTACCCCTAACATCTATCCTCACCCCACTCCTTACACCACATCTCTGCCTGTTTCTAAAATGGATCTGCAAACCAGTGAGGACAGTCACTATTAAAGCACTTTGCTAGCAGAGCTCCAGGTGACAAAGTTGACCATTTATTACTTAGTGTCTATTTGGGGAGCAATTCATATAAATAACTTTTTCAGACAACGACACCCCTGATAAGCAACAACGAATTGGAAAGGGTTCTGTGGATGGTCCCTTGAGGTCCACTGTCCTTCCCATTCTGCTGGAACGCATAAAATGGCCTGCTATGAAAGCCTCTCACAAAATTGCGGCAGCTCGGTCTATCTAATAGCGCCACAGCCAAGGCTTTCATAACACGTTTGGTGACCACCTGTTATGTACCTGCCTCATTAATCAAGCTGTTTTCCCTGATAAATGTGGCTTGCAAACACCCTTGGCCTTCTACTTGTTCTTTGCATTACACGACAGTCTACGCTGGGTGCCCAGGTTCACTGCAAATAGCTGAATGGTGAATATGATGTTGTTGCTTTCCAGGTATGTACCTTTTCTATGCACTGATAAAGCTACAAAGCCCATGCAGGGGGAAAAGCAGGCACATTAGTGGCAGCTATTAGCACCAAGTTAATTGAACTGGAAAACTGAAATTTCATCTCAATGCCATTTTTTCTTTCTTTCTTTCATGGTTATCAGGTGCTTTTCCTGTGGAGCTGCGTCTAAGTCTGGGTGAACAAGCAATTTTCATGTTTTCCCAGATTGTCCAAATGCCAACGTGATGCTTGTCTTATCTCAACTGCCCATGTTCATTTGCATTCTTTTGTGTTTTGGTTGAATGGAGAAAGTGCACATTTGAATGGGGGAAACTCTCTCTCTCTCTCTCTCTCTCTCTCTCTCTCTCTCTCTCTCTCTCTCACACACACACACACACACACACACACACACAGAGAGAGAGAGAGAGAGAGAGAGAGAGAGAGAGAGAGAGAGAGAGCGAGCACAATGAAAATGCACTTTCCCGCCAGAGCATGAAAATACACATGATTTTGATGCAAACACAAATTTGGGAATTTGCAAGCATTTGGGGAGAACATGCTCTCTGGCTCACATTTGTGCTTGGGGTTGCAAACAGGTCTTGACTGTTTGATTTGCAGACATAAACAAATTTCTAGTGCGCCTCTGACTTCTTTGCTCATGGTTCTAAACTGACAACAGTCAGTGATCCGAATTCTGTAGAGTTCACATGAGTCCAGTTCTAAATACGTGATGAAGTTATGCTAGTGCATGCTGAAACATCCTCCGTTCGTCGCTCTGCCAAAGGCATCTGCATGGGCTGCCTTCTGTTGAAATGCAATGCAGCAAATGCAGAGCGTTCTGGAGAAGGAACTCATTAAGCTGCGCCTACTGAAATTTCCTCTTCCTCTCCACTCATGGAAGACGTCTTTGCCTGATGTTTGGGGACCCTATTCAGCAGGGACACCTAATCCTCTGGGTTGCACCTCCAGCCCCCTGAAGGACTACACTGGGGTGGATGGAGCAGAGGAATCCTCTTTTGCCAGCCCAGTTGCACCCATATAAATCCATATCTTTGAGCAGCCCACTCCTGTTTCAGGGATGGGGCATATATGGCTATCCAGATGTCAGTGTTCTGTGTCTCCCATTATCCCTTGCCACTGGTTTTGCTGACTAGGGCTGACAGAAACTGCAGTCAGCAACATCTGGAGGGCTACCTGTTCCCCACCCCCACCCTACTGAAATCAGTCTGACTTATGAGTAAGTAAGTGTAGAACCACATTATACAAAGTTTCAATCCTTTTGAGAAGTCTGGACTAGGCAACCCTTTCTGTGTGGGAGGGGAGGGGAGGGGAGGGAAGGGAAAGAGTGGTTTGCTTTTGCAATAATTGTGACCTTGAGGCTGTTCAGCACTGAATACATATTTTTGCAAACCACCCAGCTTTAGCTATTAGACACTGTAGAAACCTAACAGGTACCTAAGTACGTAAATGCAAAAATATCACTTATGGCCAAGCTAGATGCTACCTTATTCATGCTTCTTTGCAGGCATACTTAAGTATAGGGGTCTTCAACATGGACCCTGTGGTGCCATGGCACTCTTGAAGACCTCAAAGGGTGACGGTGAAGCTCTGTCCCCTTTCAAACAGAATTAAAATACAGTCCTTGGAAAATATTAGGACCATCTTCTTATCTTCCTTTCCTGCCTCATTACTTCTTTCCCCACTGCTCTTTGTCTCACTGCTTCTCTCCTTCTTGGCCTCTAGCCCTGCCTTTCCCTACTCTTCGCCTTGCTGTTTCCCTCCCTGTCTCCCCCACCAAACAAATACTTCTTTAGCTGACTTTGACTAGCCAGTCCCTGCTCCCCCAGCCACAGCAGTCATTGACTGACTCCTCACATCGTCTATGGAAGTGCTTTTTGTGCCCACAGCAATTTTTGACATTCCCAAACATGGGGACCCCTGCTTAAGCAGGTCTCTTTTATTTTGAAAAGCGGAGTCTTGATCTGAAATATCATTCCATTCCCAATTGGGATCTCACAATGTTAAAAATGCTGCCCCACTGCTATTTACCCACAAAGTTCTGTCCAGCTGTTCAGCTGGGACAAGTAGCAGCTGCGCAGGCCATTTTTTGTAAGGAAGTAAAACATGGGGCCCTGCTGTGGATCAGAGACTGACCCGGCTTTGCTGTTTTCCTTCAAAGCAGGGGTAGCCAGAGTATAAGCCCAGCCAGTATCTTTGGAACCCTTTCACCTATGAACTTCTCCACAGTTGCATTATTTTGGGGTCCCCTGGGGAGCACTTAGAGAGCAATTAAGACCCCAACATCCTATGCAATACCTGCTCCTAGAGCAGATGAAATCCATAGGAACTGGTGTGTTGACATGGAGCAACACAGCTGTCCCCATCTGGATTTTCCCTGAAGGTGTGACAGTGGGGAAGATTGTGATGAATGCCTGCACTTCCATATTTATCATTGCCCTATTCAGTTGGTCCTGCTCTAGCTTTCCCCAAATTTTATGGTAGGAATTGCAGTCCTGATGGGCACTGGGTTGGGGAAAGCTGATCTCCTCTAAAACAGAGGCTATACTGGGATGTTGGCTTCTCATTACACATGCAAGAGGCCCCTCTGCAGCTGCATCCCATAATTCCCATGGAGCCATTCATGGCCAGTGGTGAAGATGCACTGCTCAGTAATGCCAGGAACTCCAGCATTGTAATCGCCATCAGCAGAAAGGCCAATTAAGTTCGGCTGAGCATGTTTTAAATGAGCATTCAAAACAAAGCTCACTGACAGTCTGTGATTGCAAATGCAGTTCCCACACCAGGATATGAAGATGTTTAAATCAGCTGCCTAGGAGGTGGCATTAGCTCTGTCTTTTAAATGGGACTTTAATTTATGGATGCAAGTAAGATACTGAAAAGAAGGGATAAGAGAGATGAATGCTCCTTTTATCACAGAAAAATGGCAAATACTGAAGGGAAGTCTGCTGTTTCTTTGGATGCTGGTCTTGGCTGGTAGGTAGAATCTTATGGTCCAATTCCAGACATGTTTACCTGCAGCAAAAACAAAGCAGAACAAAACACACTCAATAATGCAGCATCCAACAGTATTACTCCACGAACTCAAACAGTGTGAGTGGTGTGCCACTGAATCCTTCTCTTGTGCAAGTGGTTGGCCCCAGCTGGTTACACAATGGGTCGCACAAGCAGAATGTGCAATTCACCTCCAGAAATGTAAATGTAATTGTATTCTCCTCTTGCACCATGTTCAGAACCACTAGTGCAATGCATAGTTTCCACCAGTTCAACATCACTTCTGCTAATGTAGTAACAAAGTTGGATGACTCCCAAAGTTCAAAAGGACAAACTGAAAGCAAGAGGTAATTCATGATTCACCCAGAGCTCAGAATGTAGCTGCAGAATTGCAGAATGACTTTAGGGCAAATTTGCAGTCCCTTTGACTCCAGAACACCCCAGTTTGGCTCATAGGAGTATATGAACAGAGCCAGAAGCAGGAAAATCCCTTTTTCCCACCCTGTCTTTCTCTGTCTGAATGCACCACTTTCCCACTGATGCAAGGAGAGGGATGGATCTTACTCGGTGGATGATGCATCACATAAGATGGTTTTCGTCAGAGGAAGGGGGGCGCAATTCCTGTCCCACCGAGAGGCCCCAGCTTGCCCTCCAAATCTGTTCTAGGGTGGGTGGGTGGGTGGGTGGCTGAAGGAACTCCACAGCAGAGTGGAAAGGTGCAGTGGGCTGCAGGAGGAGGAGAGGAGAGGGAAAGGTTGTTTATGCACCACTGGATTTCACCCATAGAAAGGGTCCTGCTGGATCAGACCAGAAGCCCATCTATTCCAGCAGCCCGATTCATTACTGCAATGGCAGGAATTCCTTTCTAGGCAGGAATTCCTTTCTAGTTAGCTCTGCCAGCCCCCATCAATTCCAGACTGGCTCCAGGTTTTTGAGCATCTTTGAACCAGGCAGCCTAAATGTGTTCCGTCTCTCAGGGATGCTACCTTATTTTCCACCACTATTACCTGCTGACATTGCTATGACATGTTTGATAGGCAGAGAGGCAGTGAGAAAGCAGATAGGTGCACCCACTGCCTTCTTTTCGCCATCACTGTCTGGGCCAGAATAAGAGGCAGGTGAACAAAAAGTTTGCGAGGGTGAAGAGGTGCAGCAACTGAGGGGGCTCTGGCCAGTGAAAGTCCTTGGCCGGTGCCTCCCCACGCCTACCTATCCTCCACCTTGATAGGTGGATGGGAGGATTGGACTTTTGGCCCCAACATGCATCACTTTTCCTTTCCTTATACTGAACTGATGTGCCCTGTAGCTGCTGGAGCACCACACAAGAGGTTAAGGGGGCAAATGGTCGGCCAGAGGCCCACTACCCTGACTCCCAGTCTGCAAGGGAGAGCACTCATCATGCAAGCAAAGATCACATCATGAGAGCATGTAGGTTTGGAAGGAGTGGAAAGAGCAAGATGTATGGAGACATGGAACTACAGTTGGAATGGAGAGGATCAGATCTATCCCCTATCTACTGCTAGGGCTGGTCAAATTAATATCTGTGCTTTGAAAATATCAATCTTTCACCCAAGGTTATTTCAGAGCTGAATTCAATAAGGATTTCAAAGTGCACTGTGTAGGAAAAACGTGCAGAAATTCATAAAGTGGTATCTAAGCTATTTGACTATGTACCATTCAATTTTCTGTCTATCTAACAACTCAACAGCGCAAGAAGCTACCGAATTCTATATGATACCATGGGAAGAATGTTATCTCTTGGCCTTCTCCTTGCCTTTCCTGGGATTTGTCTGAGTGAAAGCCAGATCTCCAAACCAATGTCTGATGGCATCACACAGTTTGCAATGGATATGTTCCGAGTTCTTTCCCTATCCCAGAAAAATGAAAACATTCTCTGTTCTCCTCTGGGAGCTTCCTTGGTTCTTGGAATGGTAAATTTAGGAGCAAAAGGAAAGGCACGTCATGAGATCAGACAACTTTTGAACCTGCAAGGAAATGACAGTGAGTAACTATGCGCTTTAGAACTAACCACACTTGGTGTTATGAACTGGGCTGTAATCATGGAAGGATGCAAACCAATGAATGCCTATGTATTTTTTTAAACTCCGTATCTACCTATATAGCTATATATATTTGGAAACATATTCACAGTGATTCATAGCAATACCAAGAGTCAACCAGTATTTCCTGGTATCTAAATAATGAATCAATTGATGTCAATTGAACCTCTCTGGGGAGGAAGGTTCATGACAATGGCCACAGAAAAGTTCTTCTCTCTAGTCTCCAGGCAACCAAAATTGCCCATCCACAGGTTCACATGGGAAGCAACCACAATAATGTTTCTGCTACAAAGATGGTGAACCTTTCAGTCCTTCCCTTTACACAGGCAGAATTCCATTTTAGAGAAACTCTTAGGGACTATATTCCAGTGATGGATAAGACTGAACGTTCCAAAAAGGCCACACATTTTCTTTTGAATCTCTTACTGTCAATAACTAAGCCTTAGGAAAAGGTATTTCAGTCCTTCAGAATAAGGAAAAATGGCACAAAAGCTGGAAAACTGCACACACACAAAATGGTGGTCATGGGAAAGGGGTGTAGCCATCTGAAGAACCCTGGAGAGCCAGATGGAGACTCCGGGTGAGCCAGATTTGCTCCTTGCCCTGATGTTCTGCAGCTTCTGTTTTAATGTACAGTCTCAGAAAAGCAACAAGCTCTTCACAGCTTTAAAACAAAGGAGTATATGGAATGGTTCATGCTGAAGAATAACTATCAAAATGATAGTTTAGATAAACTGCCACAAACTGTTGCAGTGTGGGGTGTTTCTGTGTACTGTTCTAGCCAGCAGTTGTCTCCCATTCCATTCCATTCCATTCCATTCCATTCCATTCCATTCCATTCCATTCCATTCCAATCCTTTCCACACTCTCTTCCTATGATCTTCATGATTTTTGTGGCCACTCTGCATGCTTGATTCTCACTGAGCTCTTTTGGGGTCCTTCACCCTTTAGGGTTCTTTCTCTAAAGGGGTGTATTTTGTGCTACTGAAGACCCTGGATCTCTCCCAACCCTCTCATCCTTCCTCCTCATCCATGGTAGGTGATCCTATGGCTACATTAGGAGTTGACTATTCAGCCATGAGATTCCATTTTATCATTGGCTTATTCTGAACCTTATTCATTCCAAAATACAAGTGCCGTGTGAGCGTTTGCTTAAACAATAGAGAACTTAGAATTTATAGATCTTTTTGAAGGTGTTTGTTTTACTGACAACTTGCAGATTGGGAAACTGTCTGTTGGCAACATGATATTTTCGTTTCTTTCTGTTGTGCAAAAGCAAAAACAAAAAATACCCCATCATTGCTTTCTTTGCAACTGAAAAGGTGATAATTGACGGTTGCTATCAATAGCAGAAATTTTAAAAAATCTAATAAATGGACATAATTGCTTATATCTCAAATGCAATCTAGACGAAATGCAACCCACAAATCAAATCCAGTGCACAGAACACATCTGACATAGCTTACTATATATACTGTTCCACTTTGAAATATTTGGCAAATGATTTTTTTAAAGCCAAACAAACCAGGAAGACAAATGAGGGTCTTTACAGCACATTTTTAGACCTTTTATGGATGATGTAAATCTATCCATTCAAGCAGATGATTGCTTACTATTATGTTTTCATTTTTTTCCCCTTTAGAAAATGCATTAGGAAGGAGAGTCCCTTTTCTTTAAACCCCACCAAATGTCTTGCTGTCAATCTAGAAAGCCTTTGGAATGTCTTTGTGGTACCTGCAGTCACTGGCCCCAAGCACGTTGGACCGCTTGACTGTGGAGGTGGGAGAAATCATGCAATTGGCTCCTTCACACAATGAAGATGTTCATGGGATGCCCTGGCCATTATTGGCATAATAGAGTAGATGAGTATTTTGCTCCTGCATCTCATAGAGACCCAATAGGTTGTGTGACCTGGGAGTGCTTCTCAGAAGGTTAGACCATTTGGGGGTACAATAAATCATCAGACAGTCCTCTAATTGGTATAGTGTTTTTTTCAGGGTGCTTCCAATTGAGGCATTTATTACGTAAACCTACGGCCTCATTTGCAGAATATGTTGAGCAGTGAGGTGTCTCTGTAGTCCTCCAGTGTTTTCCCATTGAGGAAAAAATGTTGAAGAACATGGGATAGATGCAGAATGGATGTATTTTGATGTTCGATGTTCTCCCTCTGAAAGCATCCTCCGTTTCTTGATGTATGGCCACTGTATCGTCCTTTGAGCCATTGCTTTTCATGCAAGCCTGAAGATTTAAGTAACATATATAAATGTCAACACATGGGGGAAGGCCGTGACAGGGGATGCTGGCCATGCTAGTTGAGGAATTGCTAGCTGGGGAGGGATGGGAGCTGTTCTCCAACACATCTGGAGGGCTTCAGTTTAGAGAAGAGCATTCTAGGTACACATTTAGAAATGTGTGCTACGATTTATCTAGAAATACAATATATTTCTTACCTCAGTGATGCAAGATTGTTGTGATCAGGTGTCCCACAATGCTTATGAGCCACTGTGTCCCTTCGTAGGTTCTTTTGATTTATAGCTGATACGGACTAGGCAGTCCTTCCAAAAGACAACACCTTCAAACAACAGACTGTGCTTTGGCAGTCATTCAATCGCATGGCCATCCTTTATTCACTCTGCAAGAATTCAGCCTCCTCCTTGCTAATAAAGCATTGGTAGATTGCTTCAAGAGTACATTGATTGACTAGGAGAAAAACCCAACTACAAAATCCATCAGGTTGTAGGTTTAAAAGGTATCTGTCCTCAGAAAGATGTGTATGTCTCATTAAACCCAGTGAATGAAAGCCTTTCAAAAAAGAAAGATAAGGATAGCTAAATCACACAGACATTGACTCTCTCTCTCTCTCTCTCTCTCTCTCTCTCTCTCTCTCTCTCTCTCTCTGTGTGTGCGTGCGTGCGTGCGTGCGTGCGTGCGTGTGTGTATCTCTTCTGTATCTTCTGAAAGGCCTTTTCAAAAACTCAGGAAGAAAAAGAACTTTCTTTATCAACACCGCTGTGGCACTCAGATACTTTAGCTCTTTTTTACGTTCCCCAGATCTTGTGTTCTCTTGATTTGAGTCGATTTTAATCCTTGCTGGAGATGGTCCCAAGACTCTCTGCTGCTTTGGAAATCCAATATCTGACTTGATAGCTTCATAGCATGATTTTAAAAGAAGCAGATCATGAGATGAAGTTCTCCTCGGCGGTGGTCCTGTTCTCTACCATGGCAACTCAGATTTGGTGCCTGCGGGTTCATGTGCAGAAAACAGGATTACCAATTGCCTAGTCTGGTCCCCATCATCTCAGTTCAGTCCTTTGCTGCCTTGGGTTCCCCCTTGTGTCATGCTAGGCTATTGCTTGTGTTACCACCTTCCCTGCATCTTGAACAATTCATCTACATGCATGTTGTCATGAGCTAGTTCTTTCCCTCCTTTCTTTGGGTTCCAAAACCTCAAAACAAACTTTTGAGTTGCAGTTCTTTTTTCAAAACTCCACAAATGACAGAACAAATTGACTCTAAATAGCCTTTTATCAAAGTTGGAAGGAGATGTGTCTGTTCATGTAAAGAGTTCCATCCAAACGGGAAACATCTTGGTCCCTCCCTTTCAGTACAGTGGCTGGCTCCAGCCTTGGGATCTCTTGCCATTAAAAAGTTAGACAGAGAGGCAGCAGAGCCCCTGCAGCTTAGCAGCTTGTCTCCCTGTTGCCTCCGTACTAGGTCAAGGACTTGGTCCTGCTCCCCTCCTGAAGCCCTTCCTTCTCTTTTGAAACAGATTGACTCTCATGCTCATTGTGAGAAACTTCACAAAGCAGCCTTGAAGGGGCTTCAGAGGGTTCAGTGCCGCTCTGGATCCCAGCCACCCTCCTCCTCCACTTCAGAACCTGATGATGATCCCATTGCAGGGTGAGAGACTGGCCCACTCTCTACATCTGCACTGGGGCATTTGCTAGCAGACTGTTCCTTTATTAGGCAGGTACTGGTTAACAAAGGTTAGTAATCATCAAGGATGGCTGGCTGATATTTCATCCAATGGTGCTTTGGCACAGTGGTGATCTGGATGAGGGCCAGTAAGATGAATCCTCATAAGATAGACAGTAAGCGGTTCCCAGATCCAGGAAAATAGGGGGTTTCCTGGTTCCTGCAAACCTGTTTCCCCCCTGAAAGGACAGGTATGGAGTCTGGGTAGATTTGTCTAGTCATTGAAGCTCAGTGACTTCTGCAGCATGGAGTGCCATAAATCAACTTCAGCTGCACTCATTTCTGATAGTGGTCCACGCACTGCTAACCTCAAGACCACACTGCTGTAATGCTTTCTATGCTAGGCTGCTCCCCAAGGCTGGCTTAGGAGATGCAGCTTGTGCAGAATACTTCAGTGAGGCTGTGCTGAAAGAGCTCTGTGACCAAGAGAGGTTCAAGGCAATATTATTGATATAAAGTCCAAAACAGCTTTTGACAGGTAACATGAGAGATCGTTTCCCCCTGTGTGGACTATTAAATCACTATGATCTTTGGCAGCGGGGAGGACTGAGGCCCTGCCACACCTGCACATTCAAATCAG